ATATATCTCGTCGGCGGTGGTGCTATCCTAGTGCCAGATGAGCTCAGGGGTGTCAGCAAAGTCCACCGCTTTCCTTTCTACGATGCTGCCAATGCCGTGGGCGCCGCTTGTGCTCAGATTTCTGGAGTTATCGACTCGTTCGAAGACACTTCTACAATGTCTTTGAGTGAGGTACAGAGAATTGTTGAGCAGAGGGCTATCGACAGGGCTGTCGCTGCTGGTGCGGATCCAGAGAGTACCGTGGTTGTCGAGAGCGAGGCTATCCCGATCGCTTGTGAGTTGCCCGACACTCGAGGGTTCGGACATGGCTGACAGGCTTCTACGCAGACGTGACTGGTCGCTGCAGATTCTATGTCAAAGCTGCAGGCGAATGGAAAGGCTCTTCCGCCTCGGCGGCTGACGATGCCGCTTTCGAAGACCCCAAATTCGACTTTACTTGGGACAAAAAAACACCTGTATCTCCCGTCAAAGCTGGAAACGCCGACCGTCAAATCCCAGCCGAGGACATCGTCCGCTCCACCTCCGAGCTCGTGGAGTACAAGCCAAAAGTCATCAACGGCGAATGGTTCCTCTCCGAGATCGACATTGAGTGGATTGCGACGGGGTGTTATATCCTTGGTACGGGTGGCGGAGGCAACCCGCATAATGTTTACCTTGCGTTGAGAGAGATGATGCGTGCTGGCTCAGAAGTCCGGGTGATTGATCTCGAAAGTTTGGACCCCGGTAAAGTCGTTTCGTACGGGGGCGGTATCGGTTCGCCCGAGGTCGCCGCTGAGAAGCTCATGTCTGACGGGTGAGTCTTTCCATCTTCTTCATAGATCGAGACTGACAATACTACAGGGCATCCAAGACTATTCGAGCTCTGTTAGACTTCATGAAGCTCGACAATCTTGGCGCTCTTGCTGCTCTTGAGATTGGGGGAGGTAACGGTATGGTCAACATGGTCTCTGGCGCCTCCAACTATCTCAACGTTCCCATCATTGATGGCGACTTCATGTGCGTACTGTTCTAGTTCCCCTTCATGCTTATAGAAGCTGACGGACGTACAGGGGACGAGCATACCCCACCGGCTGGCAGACAACCCTGAACGTGTATGCCAAGGATGATACTGGTTCTCAAGTCCTTCCCAACGCTATGAGCAGTGGGGATGGCACCACCATCGTAAGCTCTACACGCCACTATCCGAACCAGGCTAACTCCTATCCAGTTTATGACCACAGCCAAGCACTACAAGGATATCGACCGCGTCCTCCGTGGTGCTTGTATTGAGATGGGCACCAGCGCGTCTGTCGCAGCCCGCCCTCTCTCCAAAGACGAACTGATAACACCCCTCATCCGTAATACTGTCTCGCAATCTTGGCGTATTGGTAGAGCAGTTGCGTTAGCCAACAGACAAGCCCAAATAGGAAATATCGGAAACATCCTTGTGGACGTTCTTGGAGGACCCAAGTCAGCGAAAGTGTTGTTTGAGGGCAAGATTCATTCTGTGGGTCGCAGGTTGTACAAAGGGCATAGTTATGGAGAGATCGAGATACACGCATTAGCTGGGGATGATGAAGATGAGATAGGCCCGAAGAAGGAAAGGTTTAGAGGGGTGGTGAAGAGTGAGCTTGTTATCGAAACCAAGAGCTTTGCTGACTATATCAGTCCCATTCAAAAATGAAAACCTGCTCGCAGAGACGACACTCGATGGAAAGACAGAGGTGAGCTTGAACACATGCTAAACAAAACACCACTGACCAGACTCAGGTTGTGGCCGGTGTCCCCGACCTGATATCCGTCCTCGATGCCCAGAACGGTACCGCCCTCGGGACACCCGAGTACAAGTACGGTCTTCGAGTCATCGTCATCGGTATCACCGCTGCTCCTCAGTGGACTGATACTCCCCGCGGTCTCGAGCTTGGTGCCCTTCCAGCGTTTGGCTATGACTTACCGTACAAGCCTTTGGGAGAGTACGTGAAGCCGAGGAGTGTTGTAGAGGAGTTTGATACCACAATCTGAAGTAGATTGCTCTGCGTCGGGGGCTGTGAGCATATACCTTCGTAGAACATAAAATGACCTTCAGTCGTGATCCAGATATGCAAACCATAATTACATGCCGGGAGTCGACAACATACCAAAACACATAGTCTATGAACACCACAGTCTGACCTCACCGTCCGCTCCGCTACTAACCAGCCACGGCTTCCCAGCCACCCATCTCAAATCCAGCACACCCAGCCCGTCAATGACCTTGTGTCCTCTCAGGATCTTCAAGGGCACGATCAAGGGGTTCTGCATCAAGTCCGAGTAGATGGTGCAGTGGAAGATGTGGATGGTGCCATCGTCTGAGGCGGAGGCGAACAGGGGGAGGGTGGGGTGGTAAGCAACTGATCGAAGAGCTTTGTTGTGGTACCTGTATGATATGAGCTTCTGTTTAATTGATGTGTAATAAATTTACCGTAAGGTCTTGTACGGCTTTGCGCTCAAGTCCATGTCAAACCACGCCAACTTCTTGTCATAACTTCCGATGATCAAGTTGTCACCACCGGGGTGCACATCCATCGAACTGATCCACTTGACACCACTTTGCAAAGTTCTGATGAGCTTTTGGCCAGCAAGGTCGTAGAGACGGATGTAGCGTTGAGTGGCAGCGAAGAAGTGGGGTTTGGTGGGGTGGAAAGCGACTCGCTGGATAGCTCCAGGGGTCTTGCGGAAGGGAGATTGGGTGGCATGGCGGGAAAGTTGGTGAATGAGCACGGACTTGTTGGCGGCTAGAGACATGTCAGTCAAGTCAGACAAGATAGAACCAGTCACGCTCACCCTCAGAGGCAACAGTCGCAAAGTAGTCACCCTTCCTGTGCCAAGTCACCTGCTTCACAGTACCAGGCACCTCAACATACACCAACACACCTCGCTCTCGCTCCTTCTCTCCGGGCCTGCTCCATTTGATCGCCTCTGTGCCTCTGACTTCCTTTCCGGCGCCTTGCTTGGTAGTAGCAGCACTGGAAGCGAAAGCGGTGTTGGCATGGGTGAGAGTAGCAGCAGCGATGTGAGGGGAGACAAGAGCGAGAGGAGCAAGGACAGCAAGCTTGCCCGAGACACCAGCAACCAAAAGCGACTCTTCTCTTGAAGGAGACCACTCGAGATATTGGATAGCACCCGCATGCAAGTCCCATCTCCAAACCTCTCGACCGTTACCCAGGTCCCAGACTCTGACCACACCATCCTCGGAACCAGAAGCAACCCATTGTCCATCCGGGCTGGTGGACAAGCTTCGGACACGGGTGTCTCCGGGATGTCTGTACTGAACAGAGGGGGCGATGGGGAAGGGCTTGAGCTCTTTAGGGGCGGGGAGTTTGGGAATTAGGGATTCGGGGTCGATGTTGAGTTTGACCCGACGTGTACGAGGAGCAAGGTAAAGATCGAGACAACGCTCAAACTTCTCCTGCACCAAGTTCTGGTACCCAGGTACCAATCGCAAAGCGCTGTGCTTCTCAGGCAAGAAATCTTCTTTGCGGTCCTCCTTGTCGGTCTCTGCGAATTCCTTCTTTTCTTCTTCGGTAGGAAGATACTCTTCGGGAGGGTTGTAAGACTCGGCGGTTTTAGGGGGAGGGAGTTGGGGAGCGGGCATGTACATGGCGTGAGGGTTATGCTGATCGGCATCAGACCAAATTGGGTAGAATTTGGGCTTTTCAGCAGTCGGCTTGTTGGGAATGATACGTCCTTGGCGGATCGCTTTGACAATTTTCATGATCTGCGAAGCGTCAGCACATATACATGATGGAATAACAAGACTGACCTTCTGGTGTTCCCACTTGGATGGCACAAATCTGCTCTTTGGTTCAGGCGCAGCACTGAGCGGCATAACCCTCTCCTTGCCCTCGCCAGTAAACCACTCAATGGTAGGCTGGTATTGATCAAAGTCCGCGTCCGGGTTTTCTCCCTTCTCGAGCCTCCTGATGATATCGAGCTCCTTGTCGGTAAGCTGGACATTTTGCTGCATGAGTTTGTCTTCCGCAGAAGTCCAAGCAGCAGTGTCATCGACGTTGGCAAGGAATTTGTCGAGCTCGTCGCCTTGTAGGGGTCGGAAGATTTTGCGACCATTGACATCGTAGCCGATGTGAGGGAGGTCATCGTACCATTCCATAGGGATGTTGCCAACAGTGTTGGGGCTCTACGCAGGTCGTTAGTTTTGACGATAGCTAACAGTGATGATCACCTACGTCTTCGGTACTGCTTTCACTTCCATAGCCCGCCTCGTATTCGTCGTACTCCCTCATGAAACTTCCCTTCACAAATTTACTGGGTACTCTCCTTCCAACACCCTCCTTCGCCGTACTAATCTTGGCGTCAGTGCCGATAGCATCATTCGGTTTGATGGTGTTTTTCGCAATCATCTTGGCCAGCTTTTCGTCGGTAGAGATAGGTTGGCCTTCTTCGTCGTGAGAAGACACGGATGAGGCGGAGGATTCGTACATGGCCTCAATGTCGGAGGAGTTGTATCCAGATTCGGAGCCAGACTCTTCGTCGTCTTGGTCGTACTCTTCGTCGCTGTCATCTGCGTCCGAGTCTGCCAGCTCAAGTTCGTCGCCCCCGTCCTCAAGCTCGCTGTCAAATTCAGGGAAAGCGTCTTCTCCGTCCTCTTCGCCGTCTTCCTCGGCGAGCTCCTCATCGTCGCTCATGTCGATGCCGCTTCCCTGGTCTCCGAACTCATCTTCGCTCTCTTGTTCGACCTGTTCGACTGCTCGCTTCTTGGTGGATTTGACGGGGGCGATGGTCGAGGGTCCAGCTTTGGGCTGCTTCGCCCTTGCTGACGACGATGGTGGTTTGGGGGCCATATTAGTGTTGGTTCTGGCTTTTACACACGGCAATGGATGATTTTGTATTCCACAAAATATCTCGACGCCTCCACTTTCCTCGGCTGGGAGAAAATCGAAAAACCGCGCTCAACAATTCCTCTCACTGACATCTGGCTGGCAACGAGCTGAGTGCACGCATGACTCTGCATATGTACCGCATGAAGGGAAGGTGGGCAGTGCGGAGCTATACGATTGTTGTACGTGTCCAAGGTATACCATACATCTCTGAACGTCTCTACTCACCCTTCGAGTCAAGACTCACAAGCCAAGGTGACCGACTACCGACAAGCTCAAAGTCACAGCCAACTAAGGCCACAGACATATCGAAAATCCCTTTGCATTCTGTCTCAGAGAAATATTACGCCCATATACTAATTTACGAATGTACTAACTTGGTAGCGCTCAACACTTCGTCCAACATATCCCTCTAAAAAAGAGTGAAGGCCGCGGAGACGCCAACCGCAGCCACCATAGAAGCAACACCGACAACGTCAAATCGCCTCAAGGCAGAAGACGAGGATGAGGAGCTCGATGAGCTCGTGGAAGCAGCAGACGTAGCGGAGCTAGCGGCAGAGCTAGCGGCAGAGCTCCCAACGGCACCCCCGTGCGCATAGGTAGTAGTCGACAACACTCCAAGAATTTCCGTAAAGACAGCGACGTTGGTGGTAGCCGACGTGGTGGGAAGTTCAGTCAAGCTGAGAGTCTCCCCGTTTCCCTCTCGAGCCTGGTCGCCGGTAAAGTTTTCGCCGTGTAAAACCATTGACTCGTTGAGAGGGGCAATGTCAATGATGACAGAGCTGTTGGCGCAGGTGAAGGAGGACTCGGTGAATGAGTTTTCGTCGACGATAGTGAGATCTGCGCAAGCGTAGTTGTACTCGGCTGACTTGTTTCCAGCAAGCTATATTCGTCAGTAACCCATTATAGCCGAAAATGTCTTTATTTACCTCATAGATGACCAACATGGTGACATTCTCGCCAGTCTCTACCCCAAGAGAAGTAAAGTCGGGCCCGGCAAAGCAATACTCTCCAACAGACATGGCAATGATCGAGTCTGTGTAGGTGCTAAAGTCGTGGAACAGCTCGGGGTCGCTCTGGTTGACCCACAAGACGTCCATGTTGACGATGGGGTATGTGGAATTGAAGGCGATGGTACTGCCAGTGACAGGGTAGGCGGTACGAGACTCGCCAGGGGAGATACCACCACAGGGGTAGACGCTGGTGGAGTCTGATGCGTATCCGCGACCGGGAGGGAATACCCAGTTGAATGGAGCCTCAGTTAGAGACTGTAAGATTGGTCAGCTACTATGGGAGACATGTATGATCGACCTACAGTGATATCCACGGCATGGACGGCAGAGGCTACACCAACGGCGGCGAGTACGATCTTGAGCATTGCGGATATGAACGGGTGGGTGTACTTGGTAAGTGAGGAGAACAGGAAACCCACTATCTACAGAGTCTTATATGATAGATCTCGACATCCTTTTCGGCGCCTTCGGCGCCTTCGCTTCACAACACGGACCCGAAGAAACGAGGCTCAGCTGTCCCTCATCCCTCGCATGTACTTTGGAAACTTCCGGGATTTCCATTGCCTTTCCTGGCTATCTACACTCCGCTGTCTTATCAGATTGCGTCTATCGGCCGACTTATCATACTTTGGTCCCTGGTGGCGTTATCAGGGTGTACTCTATCCTTGCGCATTCTCCCATGTGCTCCATGTGCTCGCTTTCCCATGAGATCTGTAGTTGAGACTTACTTGGCGTTTGAGGTTAGATGCCTGCCGTACATGCAGCGAAGAGTCTCGGAAGCTCTTCTCATACTACGGACCCGCCTTCGGGGTGCGTCGGTTTCTCCGGGGCTCACAGATTCTGCGAGACTCGTTGTCTCTCATCATCATTCAGGTCAAAAAGCCAATCAGTATTACTTCACGATCATAGGCGATCCCCGAGCAGGTTAAGCTTGTCGGCACTCGGCAGTCAAACATGTCACCACGTTGACTCTCGCGAATTTCGCCGAAATTATTTCGCCTTCTCTTTCTCCTCACTCTCATTACATCCACGTCTCCCCTCGGCGCCACTCTTGCTCATTGGCCTTACTCTAATTGTACAGTTTAAGGGCGGATGCATTCGCCGGCCCAATCATATCGAGGAGCTCCTGAGGACCACAGGCGATATAAGCCGTATGGTCATCTACTTCGAGCCTTCTTCTCTGGGATTGGTCGACTTGCTTCTCTTCAAACGGGTTTTGGCCGGCCGAATGCATCTTTATCGGAAACCTCGGAGTCAAATGACTGTCTCCGACCCTACAATGCCAACCACGAGTCAGGTGGGTTCATACCTGCTGCACTGAGCAACACACACGATACGACGTTCTGGGCGCGTATGAAAAGGTTCAATGTGTAGGCCGACGGCCGACGGGAAACGTATGAGCGGCATGTACCTGTCGGTGTTCCCTTGTTTCCCATGTGGATAAGACTCCGATCAGACTGTCTCACCAAAAGTCCCCTTTCAACACGCTTGTCATTGTACTCTTTCGTTGACAGTAACACCCCCCCGTTTACCCCATGTTGCCTCTTCTAGCGCTAACAGCGCTTGCTGCCACAACCGCTTCAGCCAGTACAGACATGATCCAGGTGTGTCTTTCCCCTGCTATCTCCTCTTCGAGTAGTGCTTAGATAGATGACCGAGCCTGTAGCGCTTCAAGCAGAGTCCAGTCGAATGGATCTACCCTCCTCCAAGATCAGGCTTCAACGCGAGCGTAGCAAATTATGCGGGGTGTGGTGATATGCCTGCTGGGTCACGCACTTACTTTCCAATGTGTAAGTCCCTCTCCAAGGTTGATGGAGAATCTTGACTCATCGCAAAGGAAACAGCCGGCGGACAGCTATCGTTCAACTCTCTCACCGTCGCAGCTGACATTTCGATCCTTCACGTCGCTCAAATCAACCCCGTATCCTTCCACTCTTGGACAGCGTCGGGTGTCAATATTGAGGACATGAGCCCTGGAGAGTTTTGCGCCCCTGCGCCAGATTTTGAGTCCAGCTATGAGGTGGGCGATCAGTTGACGATGATTATTATGTACCAGGTGCGTTGATTAATATGACGAGGATCAGCGACAAGAACTGATGATGCTGATCTTAGCTTTACGGCGACAAGACGGACTATTACGACTGTGCCGACATTACCTTGATCGAGACGTCCAACTATACCGCACCCTCCTACACCTGCTCCAACACTTCTTCTCTCCTTACGATGGCTTCTAGTGTCTCAACCTCTGCCGGCCAGGATAAAAGTGTCTACGCGAATGGCACTTCCTCTTCTACCTCTTCCTCGGTGACAGTGACGACGACCGCAGGCGTCAGTAACGGGTCAGGTCTTAGTGCCGCAAAGGGAGGCGGTATAGGAGCTGTTTGCGGGGTTGCCTTTGCCGCTGCGCTGGTGGGAGCAGCTTATGCGCTGGGATACTTGCGATTCAAAAAGAATAGAGGTAATCTAGAGCTGGTCCATGATAGTGACTCAATGAGGTCCAACATTCCATTGAATGGGACCAAGTTCAACGGGAAGAAGCAAGTGGTTTGATTGAGGGTTCATTGAGGGGCTTGCAGGTTATAGGCGCGTTCATAGATCAACTGGAGATGATGCTATAATCAGTATTGGGTTGCCCACGGTATACTTCCAGAACTCGCCCACCACACACGCACATAGATTGTATGCATACGAATGGAAACCTGTTGAAGACCCCCTCAGTTTCCACTCTGGCGGCATCAAATGCCCGATTCGGCAACCCGCGCTTATCCGTCTCGTCCAATTTCGCCATCTCTTGTTCTCTCTCCCATCTCCCCCTCCAAATCCCCCACGATGTCTGGCATTCTCCAGGCCATTAGCTTCATCACCCCCCTCCCTCCCCAGCCCCTCTCCAGGGACTACGACGGCTTCCAGGTCTGCTGGAAGATGTTCTGTTTCCGCCCCAGCGTATTCACCTTTGAAGCCTGGGCGTTCGGTCTCCTGGGACTCTACCTACTGGCTTATATTGCTGGCAAGGCTGTCAATGTAAACAGAGCCAAGTCTACGTGAGTCTGATCAAGAGAAAACCGGAGGCGGCGCTGACTCTGCATTCAGTATCCAGCCATACATCACCCTCATCCGCTCCCAATTCACCTCCACGCGCCCCCTCCTTCATTCCTCCCCTGCCCTCCACCTCCTCTTTGCAACCGGTCGCCGCTCCGTCCTTGCCTTGCACACCACCATCTCCCTATACCCCATTCACGATCTGCCCATGTTCCTCTTTGGTCTCGGCAGGAGTTTTATCGAGCCTACCTATGTCTTTGAGGAGAATGTGGTGTTTGACTTTACCATCGGACACGGTGCTGATGGTGTCTCTGATGGCACTGGTGTCTTTGCTATCGTCTCCAAGGATGGCATGAAGGACGTCAGGTCTAAGCGCTGGGATTTGGTTCGTCTTGCTTCTTTCCGCTCGAGCTACATCACTGACCGCTCCCTGTAGACTTTTACAAAGCTCGCCGAGACTTCTGCTGTCCCCATCACCCATGCCCTCTTCACCGAGCACTCTGACCTCACCGACCTCGTCCTCAAGACCCCCAACGTCGGTGTATCTGACCTCTTGAAGGACTCTGATTCTCTTTCCGTCTTGAAGTATCTTCTCGTACGTTCCGCTCGCCTTCCAAATCAATGCGCACACTCTGATCAAACGCCTTTCAGGTATCCGACGTCGCTGCCGAACGCCCCGCCCGAGGCCCTATCGCCCCCAAGTCCAAGTCCCGACACGTCATCATCTCTGTCCACAAGCCTTCTTCTCCCGCCCAGGTTGAGGCTGTCAAGGCTTGGGTACAGGTCGCCCTCAACTTGTCTGATCTTTTGGCCAAGGGTCCTAGTGTCTTGTTCAAGCCTGACGTGAGCTGTCACTACATGATTGAATAAAACATGAAACTGATGAGAGGTTGACAATAGGTCGCCCGTAAACTGATCAAGACTCGTCAAACCGTCGATGCTTCCCTCCTCGCCGCATACCAAAAGGAAAAGCTCCTCGACTCTGGCGCGCCCACCGCCGAAGAGACTGCCGAGGAAAAGAGGCTGGCAAAGAAGAAGGCCGAGAGGGCCAAGATGTCTGAGAAGGAGTTGAAGAGGGCTGAAGAGTTGGACAAGAAGAGGGAGATGAGAAAGCTGCAAAAGAAGCAGATGTCCAAGTAAGGGGCGTAAGGGTGTTAATGGTGATATTGCGGGGAAATATCACTGGGGGAAAAAGAAAGTGACGAGCCAGATGGGGTCCATAGACGTTGTCTTATCTTGCATGTTGGGATCTGGCGCCCGAAAAGCATAAATCTTTGCAATCAACCAGTGTTATGTCTCATTTGGAATAGCATGCAATAATGGTCTGCCTTGTATCTTCCTGGATGGTCAAGATCTGCACAGAGAGTATTCCAGGTCCCTGGGACGCCTCGAGCGTGGTTTGAGCCAACTTCAAAGTGCCGGGGGTTGCTTCTCACCTCCAGCCCTGTATTCGACACAGAGCTTCCCACACAGAGCTGTTTCACGAGCAAGTGCAGTATGCTTTTGGCAGGCCGTTTGGGTCGGAGAGAGGCTCAGTGGGTTCGATTCAAGTCGTGGAGCCACCACATCGGTCGGAAATTTTACGCCCATGTCAACAATTCCCACCCCTCCACAATTCTGCTTCTCACTGGTCGAGCAAAAGCAATCATTATCAGCGACGTCTCCGCCCGAATATCCCTCCACCGCTAGGATCCACCACTGCTCTCCACTCCTCCCTGACATCTCCGATAAAGCCGCCATCACGAAAGAAGCGACCGAGGGCACTGTCGATATCCTTCTTGTTAGAGTATGCATTTTCCACTACTGGCCCATCTATCCGCCCATCTCTTACATCATAGAGAGATCGCCAAACTTCTCCTACAATCGTGCACAAATGCAAGTCAGCTCCTGCTCCCATCTCCTTGCCTTGCTTCAAACCAAAAAGACGTACCCTGTAACCGGGGACAGTCCACTTTCCCTTCTTAACCATAGTCTCGACAGCCTTGGCGATTTCGGGCCTGGCCTTGGCGACCTCGTCGACGGTAAGGTCCTCGAAAGGTCGGGCGTCCTTGATGTTGGAGAGGGTGGCTTGGAGGGAAGACTCCTCGGCGGAGATCTTGGAGACGGTCTCCTTGGCGGCGGCGACCTGTAAAAGTGTGAATTGCTGCTTTGCTGATCGCTAGATGTCCAGGGGGGTATGGGGGACGCAGACCACGAAATCACGCGCCCCCACCATTCCACCCCCCGCGCACTTGATTCCACTCACAGCCTTTCCCTCGAAAGCGTCCACAACACCGTTCCACTTGCTGACATCATAGTCGACAGCCTTGAACTCGCCCAAGACCTTCTCGGCGAGGTTGACGGCCTGCTGGTCCTTCAACACGCTCTTGTACTGGGCGAGGTCGAGCTCGGGGACGGTGCTCTTGAGGGCCGAGTTCTTGTTGATGGCGGCGGTGTGTCGGGCACGGAAGGATTGGAGGGCGGTGACGGTGTGCTTGTCGAGGCCGAGACCGGTGTAGATCTTGGACCAGTCCTAGGAGAGTGCGGTTGCGCAGGTCAGCGTGGTTTCCTGTGCTCGCTCGAGCGGGCGGGATGGGCGGGCACGTACGACGACGGAGGCAGCGGATTTGGTGGCCATTTTGTGTGAGTGGTGGATGGGAACAGGAGCAGAGGAAGAGACGTCGGCCGTATTGGAGGGGTATGCAGCAAATTACGTAACTTGCCGGGGTTATGGCCCGCCGCGCGTGTGGCACCTCCATGCTCATGTTTACGCTTCCTATGTATCATTCACTTGTCTCTATCCGCCATGTCCGATCCCAGAGCAGCATCTCCAAAGATTGAGGACGACGATGCCAACGTCGACGAGGTGCGTCCTTGTAGTTCACTGACCGCCCCGAGCTTATACAGAATCATTAGGAACTCGCCTTGATGCAAGCTCAGCTCGAGGCCATGGAAGCCGAGAAGAACGCCCTCGTTTCTGCTTCGGCCCCTGCCCCTACTTCTGGCACGCCCGACCACCAAGCACCCGCCGACGGGACAAGAGAAGGAACACCGAGAGCGGGTGGAGAGGGAGCGGATGAAAATATGGAGGAGGATGGAGAGTCGACGGCGTCTGTGGATCTGAGGAGTGTCTATGTTGGTCAGGTGAGTGTGTATATCTTGGGAGAGTGTGTGGGGGTATTGATGAGTGCGTAGGTCGACTATTCAGCTACACCGGAGGAGATTCAGGCGCATTTCCAAGCGGCTGGAACTATCAACAGGATTACGATTCTTTGTGATAAATTTACGGGGCATCCTAAAGGGTCAGTCGTCTCGCAGATTGTGGTTAGGACAGAAGTGCATAGGATGGAGTGGAGAACGCCGGCAATGTGGGAACCTGCCACAGGAGAATGTCGGAGCTGCCTCTCCGCCCTCGACTGCTACCCACGCCACAGAGCAATACTGACAATCTTTACAGATACGCCTATGTAGAATTCGCCGAACCATCATGCGTCCAAAACGCCCTTGTCCTCGACAACAGTTCTTTCAAAGGACGTGCCATCACCGTATGTCTTCTCTCTCCCTTTGCCATCTCCTTGGTTCACCACTGACGATGGGAATCACAGGTCAAAGAGAAGAGGACAAATCTGCCGGGAATGAACATGACGAACCGTGGACGGGGACGGGGCAGAGGACGGGGGGGATACAGAGCCAGAGGAGGGTTCAGAGGACGGGTCAGGTATGTCACCCTCTACTTTCCACGCACAAGATATTCCAACTGACATGCTGGAATAGGGGACGAGGACGGGGCTACTACTAATCTTGTATCAAAGGCATGGAACATGTCTTGAAGAATATCATACCATATAGACTGGAAATGGGGGAGAGGAAACAGTCACGCCCAAGGGCTATACAAAACAAACATGTACCAGTAACAACAGGCTCTACCAATATGCCTCGAATGCAGATGCCAGCACACATTGTCGCATTTCTGGTTCAACTGCAAAGTCAATGGTCAAGCTTGAGTGAGAGAAGGGTAGGACATCGCAGGGACAACAAGGACATACGTTAAGAGACTGGAAACTGGCCACAACAATGGCCGGGACAGCCAGAGCGTGTATCAGTATGAGGGGAGCGAGTACCCAAGGGCCACTCAATCGTAGCCATGTCATGAATCGTAGGTAAAGATGCAAAGACATGAAACGGTTTTACACACCTCAAGCCAGTTGCGAATCTTTCCAATTCGGCATTCAAATACATCTGCCTCAGGGACGCCAGGGCACAGGTGATAACCGCGGCCGTCGTGCAGCCCCACCTCAGTTGACTCCGCCTCTTGAATTCTACATACCTTTTCATAAACATGAAGCCTGCCTGGGCCCAGTCTGAGGTCTGAAGGGGCTGGAGCTCAGGAGGGTACGTATATCTCGGCATGATATAGATATATTTCCACGAACAGAGGGCAATCATCCCACGTAGCATACAAGACTGTATTCATCGATACCGTAGAGAGACATACACTACGAGTACTCATACTCTTGCGCCCATGATTTAGGTTCGTCTGAATTGTTCAAAGACAACAAAGCCTGCTGTTCGATCTCCCCGTGGCTCTTTGGCACCTGCTCGACGTCACTCTTCTTCTGTGGAATCCAGCTATCTTTTTGCGTTAGCTGACTCTGCAAAGGTTATCAGATCATTCAAAAAAACATTTACCACTCATTGTAGCGCCACCACAGCCCCAGCTTGCCTTGTTGAGCTGCTGCCAAAGCCGTGCACAAAGATACCACCGGTACTGTCAGTATAAAAGGGATCGGCGTGACGGCCACGATAACAGCATCACCGGCGTACTGCGCCAATGTGATATCCATGAGAGCAAGGCTGAGGAACAAGGAGGCGAGGGAAGTGATGGTGATAGGGCATGAGAAGGATGGGTAATCGGAAGGGACACGGACTGGGGCTTCGCCAGATATCTGTGCCGGACGGTCTACTTCTTCGGTAGCTTGGGAGTATTCGAAACGGAACGTCATGGCAGTCTATTAACACAGCAAGGATCAGGACTAGCGTAATCGTGGTCTCCCGAATACTCACCATGATGCCGGGCATGATCATTGGACCTATGGAACTAATTGTCAAACCGAGGTACAGCACCCAGTCACTGATGGCAGTATTATCCGGCGGTGGTACCTCCTGCGAGTCACCACTTGGGGCATAATGATTTGCAATCACACGAACGCCGCCGTTGAAGACACAAACGAAGACCTGTGTTGTATAATCCAGTGAGCCATTACGCTGACGATATTACAAGATTTACACACCACAAGTTTCAAAGGTTGAAGGATATTGGCTCGGATGCTCATGCGAGGGAAGTGAGGTTTGGCAACGACCGACCAGCAGGTCATGATGGCCACCAAGAACGGCAGATGGGCTGTAAAGCCGCCAGCCGCCAAGATCACTATGCCAATGGCGGCGGCTAGTGAGAGACCTGCACGCAGTATTTGTTGACGAGCTCCAGCTTCGGGGTCGCCCATTGGTGATACTAGGAGATATGTCGGCCCATTTGGAGACTTGCAGGTGTAGCGAACGTGCATGGGCAGGGGTTTGATAACGCCAATCAACTGAAAAGGAGACGTCAATCAGGGCGCTTCGACAACAGTTGACGAGCCGTCCATCACTCACAACATAGATAGAGGGAGCGCAACTCAAAATCAAGCCCACGGACACTATGGTGTCCATCATTGGTTGAGACTTGATTTTGGGGAAGAGATGAATGACTGTAAAGCAGATCAAGACCCAAATGGCGAGTACCGAGGCGAAAGCGAGCACCGTTTTGCCCTTTGCTCGGAGGGGCTGAGCGCGCCATTTCTGGTAAGCAGTCTCCGTGGCCGGTCTGGACGAGGAGACTCTATGAGGAGAGGCATCTCGGGCTGATAATACAGAGACAGCTCGCCACACCTAGACAAGAGACTGGTTATTAGTTGAATAGAGTTCAATGGAAAAGGACTGACATTGAGCGAGTGGAAGCATGCCACACCGATGGCGGGGATGGACAGAGTGTGTAGTATAATGGGGGGCGAGAGCACCCAGGGAATTTCCAGTGGATGCATGGTGGAGTGAAGCTGGCCGAGAAGAAGGTGTCGAGAGATTGAAATGTGAGCAAAGATACTTGTGATACAACGGTAGCTGAATTTCATTCGCATCTACGTATCTCGCTTGCTATTTAAAGAGACCTGTACGTCTTTTTAACATACGTACTGAACAGACCATTCATAACGTAGGCACGGGCGGAGGCCTGAGAAGGGTTTCGGAGGATGAGAAGAGGCCGCATCGGCATCCGCATGTCTCACCTGAGATTTCGCCCTTTTGGAGTAATTCCAGTCAAGCTCTTTTCGCCACAGGCCACAGGCCACAGGCGGCCACAAGCCACAGGGCTACCAGGAAGAGGTGAGCCGGCCGCATCCACCAGCCCCCCGGTGCAGTCACTTTCTCCTCTGGGATACCAGGGTGCGGGGGTGCAGCAGTGGACGAGTGGACGAGCGGCAGCCTCTCAATTGCCCTATGTACGCTTCGTTTCATCGCCTCCGTCTCATTATTTGTTGTTCGGTTAGAGCCGTGTTTACGTAAGATTAGTATTGATTGTAATGTCCCTCTAGCATTACGTAATAGCCATTCGATGTCGCTCACGCGTCGCCAGATGATGATGACTCCTCTGTTCAGTTGTTGCTCTCTCTCCAAAAGCACACGATGCAAGTCGACCCCACGCCCTCCAGCGCGGCCTCCCCCGCCCAGTACCTCGACGCCCAGATCGCAAAGTCCAAGCCAGAGCTCAAGCCCTGGTGGACAAAGATCAAGGACCAGTATGAGCGCAAGTACGTGATTCATTAGAGAGGTAGACGAGGACTGACCGGCTTCTCCTCAGACTGTGGCATAATCTCACAGTCACCCTCACCCAATTCGTCTTCTTGCCGGGCACCGGCGAGTATCAGATTGAGCTCTTCGACAAGTGGGTCATTGTATCGTCTGCATGGAACATGACTGATATACTCTCAGCTTCATCACCACCATCGAAAGCAAGATCAATGCTCTCAAGCTGATCGAGATCTCTCGCCGAGTCGGCCGTGAATACTCTGGTTTGTCCCCCTTCATCTACATTGTGTGATAGCTGCTGACTCCACGCTGCAGAACCCGACCGCACCCTCGCCTTCCTCCAATCCGTCCACTCCCGCCTCACTTCCCCATACCCCATTCCCGCCACAGAAGATACCCCCGAATCCCCCGCTCCCCCCGCCCCGGCCGCTTCAGCCTACGCCCTCTCCCTCTCCTCCATCGCCTACGCCCAGCTGCTCCTCGGCGACCTCCCCGCCTGTAAAGCGTCTTTGGACGAGTGTGAAAAGCTCTTGGGCGAGCAGGATAGTGTGGAGCCGGCGGTCAATGCGGGGTACTATGGTGTGGCGGGTGATTACTACAAGGTGAAGGCGGATTATGCGCCTTATTACAAGAATGCTTTGCTGTATCTTGCTTGCGTGGATGTCGAGAAGGAGTTGAGCGAAGAGGACAGAAAGTCGAGGGCCCATGATCTCTGTGTGGCTGCACTGTTGGGCGAAACCATCTACAACTTTGGTGAACTGGTAAGTTTGGTCTTCATTTGCCGTCTCGAAAGCTCATGGAGTACAGTTGCAACACCCCATCCTCCACTCCCTCACCAACACTGAATTCGATTGGATCAAATCTCTCATTTCCGCATTCAACGCCGGCGAGATCGGTAAATTCGAATCTCTCGCCACCTACCTCCCCAACGAGCCCATCCTCGAATCCTCCATGTCCTTCCTGAGGCAAAAGATCTGTCTCATGGCGTTGATCCAGACTGTATTCGAAAGGCCGAGGGATGGTAGTAAGCGGGAGATGAGTTTCCAGAGTATTGGGGAGGCGACGAGGCTGCCGGTGCATGAGGTGGAACACTTGTTGATGAAGGCCTTGTCGTACGTTCCACTTTTGCTTGACCGGTAAACAGACAGCTGACAAACAATTGTCAGACTCAACCTTATCCGAGGCTCTTTAGACCAGGTCGACGGTACCGCCGACATCACCTGGGTCCAGCCCCGTGTCCTGGAAGGCAAGCAGCTCGACATCCTCGGGGAACAGTTTAGAGTTTGGTCGGAGAGTGTGGGTAAGACTACGAAGAGGGTGGAGGAGCAGGCCAAGGCGGCCAAGACTGCTGTGGCAGTGCAGTAGATTGCATTTTTGGATACAAGAGATGTAAAGTATGAACATTGACTCGTGGCAATGCAAATCATCTGCCTGCAAACCTACATTCCTGTATTGTAAAGCATATGGTGCAATCTTGTCAAGACGTCGCAGAGGGTATACATTTCTTCATCGCAGTTCGTAGTAGCTGTTGTATACAATGAACACAAGACGCTTATCCTCGAGCCTTGGTCAGGTCGGCACCGAGTGTGTAACCCGTCACCTTGTCCCAGTCCATCTTCTGCCTGGTCACCGGGAGAGCCCTCCTCAACCTGTCCAAAATCAGTAAACCCCATCAGGTACATCTCTACAGCCCACTCACGCTCTAAAGGCCTTGTCACCCAGCTCGGCATAAACATCATTGAGCTCCAAATGATAAAGCGTCTCGATCTTGCTAATGCTTGTCACAATCTGCGAAGCCACCGACTGAGTTCCCTTGGGCTCGGCGGGGTAAGGGAAAGAGGCGGTGTGGTTGGTCGCGAGCTGGACATTGCCTTGTTCGTAGTAATGGACATCGACGTTGATGAGTCCGTTGACTTGGCCAGCAGCTTGGTCTACGGTCCAGCGTGTTCTCCAGCGCCCAGTCCTGCAGGTGGAGTCATTCATCATCCGGGGGGAATGGCGAGAGGCTTACCAAAAGTTGCTAGGGTTGTATCGGTTGCCGACCACTTCCAGGGTGTACACCGGGTTCTTAACGCGCTCCTGCTTCTTCTCCTCAACGCTCAACGAGCCGAGCTTCTCCTCGACGTCTTTGACCGGCGTCTCCTCTGGGGCCACAGCACTCTCCTCGGCCACAGCGGGACCTTGTTCCTCAACCACAGGACTCGCCTCCTCGGCAGCAGGGACCTCATCTCCCTCCACCTTTGGTCTTTCCTCAGCCGACTCTCCAGCTTCTCCAAGGCCTTCCTCCTTCTCCTTCTCCTCCTCGACAATCTCATCAATCTTCTCCAAGTTTTCAGGCTCTACAAGCTCTTCCTTCTTTACATCAGCCACGTCGCCGACAGCGGGTGTGGGAGCAGGCTCCAAGTCACCGGCGTTGATTTGTTCTGGCACGACGTCGGTCACTGGAGGGACGGTGGCACTGGCTTCGTCGGCAGGTGGTGTAATTTCAGGAATCTCGGAAGGCTCAGTGGCTTTGACGACTGGCTCGCTAGACTCCTTGGGCGATTCGACGGGGACAGCAGCGGCTGGTGTAGGCTCTGATGGTTGGGGCTCCGGGTTGAGGGGGATTTGAGAGCAAGAGACGGAGGCGTAGCCGGAGGGGAAGTGGTTCTTGGTATAGGATGTAAGAGATCTGGCCAGCTCGGCGCTAGAGAACTGATCAACCTTGTCCATCGGCCTTCCTCTGGGTTGCTCACCGGAACTGCTCTTCGTCGTCTGGAAGCTGATACGGCTGATAGTCTGACACAGTCTGTAGACAACGGTGTTAGTTGGGAACGACGGAGCCAATATAGCCTTACAAATGTAAGATGATCGAATGCAAAGCTCCTCTTGCCAGCAGCGTCGATATATCGCTCGGTCTCAGCGCCGGGGACGATAGATGCTTCCGACAACAGTGACTGCAACTTGTCAGCTCGTTCGTTGGCTGTTGAATGTACGAATCACATACAGTATGAGCAGGCAACCCTTCTTCCTCTGGGTGCTCAACAACATGGAGCTGCTTGAGGTTGTATGCCCTCAAAGCAGGAAGGACATGCGGCATAAGGGCCTCGTCGTCGGCAATGATGGCTCGGATATCTGTTATTCGGCATAATCAGTTTCTGCAGAAAGGCTCAAGCCATGTCCACATAGAGCTAGAGCCTAGTAGATATAGACATACCATTGATCACATCGCTGCACATGACCATTAGCTTGAATGCGGTTTAAACGTGGACGACACTCACTTGATCTCTCCTGGGGGTGTCTGCTCGACAAGAGTGGATGCGAGCTTGCACTTCTGTTCCAGGGTAATGTCGGACATTTGTGGGTAGTGCTCTTGAGTTGGTGTATGGTCGTTCGAGGGATCCAAGACGATGACGCTGTGCTCGACGCGTCAAATGTCTTCGCGGGCATTAGCGGAAGCAAACCCACATTTAGCATGCATGCTCGTAATGTGTGGTTCGTCGATTCCCATTTGATTCTGCATGTCCACCACTGCTGCTGCTTATACACCCCCGCCGCCCTTTCCTCCCTCCCTATCGAACAGAAAGCACGAAAAGACAAGAACAACAACAAACCTCACCAACAGCACCAAACGTCTGGGCCTCAAGGCTTATCTTTACGCCGCCCAGTCCTCACTTTCCATCTGTCATATCCCGTCATCCTCTCCTTCACCATGCAAAACGTACCACAACAAAAGACACAAGAGGTCGACATGGCCAGTATACCTACGGAAGGAAGGCCGGTTGTACCGGAGCGGAGGTATATGTACTGCTTGAGGGAATGGTTCGCTTTCGTTCAGGAGAAGGAACTGCCGTAAACCACGTCTCGAAGACGATTCAAGTGCGTACAGTTGACAATCAGTTCAGCACCCTTGTCTCACCCCAGACTGCCACCGCTTTCATGTGGGAAAGGGTTTTCGTCAAATCCAGCCACTCCTACAAATCGACGATCCCCACTGTTGATCAAACTGGAGGCAACGATGGCAAGTCCGATGCCGATGGCAATTCCAATACAACTAATGGCAAACGCAAACGAGCATCCAAGAAGCAGGCGTCCCAGAGGAAGAAGAAGACTGGGGTCCAGACCACGGCGTCTGAGGGCAACAAGGACAATGGTGTGAACGCAATAGTGCGAGACGCCAATCTTGATCAACTGACGGATGAGGACCTGGCTGCCGTCACTGAGGTTCATGTCTTGTCTAGGACGCTCATGGCGGGGGGAGTCCTAGCCTTCGATGGACCGGCCGACCAGACAATAGAGCTTGATCTTGAAAGAGGTATGTCTCTTTCCGCCTTCTGAACCAACGTCCTCTTCAAATCGCTGATCACGCCAACACAGATGCCACTATTGAGCACATGCTGCGCTGTCAGTTAACCCCCAGTGCACTGGATGTGTACATGTCAGCTCTCATCAATCTCTGGAGGCATCAAGTCGACCACGAGGATAACCCCCACCCCACCCCTCGATCAAGCCTCTACTCAAAGCTGCTCAAGGCCTACAGGCAGCTCCATATCAGGAAGAGGAAAGCCAACCACGAGGATGAAGGGAAGGGCTCTGACGGCGACGGCATCCAGAGCCGAAAGCAATTGGCGGATATCCGCCAAGCATTCTTCTGCAAGGGCACCTTGGACGGTCTTCGGGACCTGGCCGCGTTCGACTGGGGACACGGGGGTCTTCTGCGAGGTGACAGCCAGAGGGAGCTGCAGATCTCGGACATGGGCGTGCAATACTTTGAGGACAGCGCCATAAGTGGCCCAACCCCTGCGGTCGCGTTCTCGTGCCGAATAACATCATCCAAGACAAACAAAACGATGCAGCAGGTGGGGATGTTTCGTGCCCGAGATTGGAAGGGTTGCCCTGTTGGCGGTCAGGCTATGTACTGGTTCAGCCGGTGAGTGCACATGTACGTGAATAGCGGATTGTCCATTGACACTTGTGTCAGGCTACATTGCTCCACCGCCAGATGCCCTCATAGCGACACTTCGTTCCCCGATCTCTCGCAGAGGGGCCATTGGTACGAAGGTTTGCCATACTTCACCACTACCGGCGGCAATACCCAGGGAATCTCCCACGGCACTCAGCTTTCAGCAGCAAAAATGCCTACCTGACTGCAGGCGTCCAAAGTCGTTTATACACCCACGACGGTCGCCGGTTCGGAGCTCGTGTGGCCATCAAGAGTGGCGCTCCGGATAGACAGGTCGAACGTTTGAGCCCATGGGCTTCAGACGTCAAGGACGTCCAGTATCTGGATGTTCTGCCTGAACACGCCATGCGCGCCCTTGCCGGTCACCCCCCACACCAGGGTACGTTCTTCTTGGCCCGAGCTGTCCAAGTGCCCCGGGAATTAATGGAGATGGTCTTCCCAATGGTGGAGGAATGGTATGTTTGTCTGCTTCATCGCATGAAAAGCCACTAACGATTGTCATCACCAAGGCTGGACCATTTCTCCTCCCCTGGCCACATCAACTCCGACATTGCAGCTGTCCAGTGGCTGCAGTACCTGAAGGAGCTCCGGCTAGTCTTTCTCCAGGACATTCCTCACTGGAGGCAGCTCTACCCAGAGCACATAATCTTTCAACATCCCATCTTCACCGACCCCGACTCTCCCTATCACGCCTATGAGAAGGACGCCCTCGCGTCCACGCTCAGTCGTGACCACGAACATCCCCTACGTGATGCTAGCGATGCTGCTAGGTCCCAGCACATTCTGGAACAGGTGAATCGTAACACACACAGGCTCAAAGATGTCTCCCAGGCTGTGCAAGACCTTCTGGAAGAGGTGCGGGAGGTGCAAGAGGATGTCGATCAGATACATGGGGCGTCACTGGACACCTGTATGTCTGTCCAGAAGGTGCAGCAAACTCTGGTGAGCAAAGTCAATGAAATGGCGAAGGCGCAGGACCAGATCCGGGAGGGGCAGGTCCAAATAAGAGACATGGTGCTAGGTGTATGCCAAAGCATAATTCGGAGTCTCTCCGGACCCCAGGATGATGCCGTGGCCCAGCTCCGCGGGCCTTTTGCATCTGCTTCTTTCCTTGTCTCCCAGCTGCCGGTCGACGGAGCTGTATCTGGTCAAGCATCCTCAGGGTCTGGGCCAGGGTCGTCCTCTGGTGCCGCTGCTGCTGCTGAGGGCAGCCCGCCTCCAGGTGAGTGGAGATTTTGTTCACTCATTCTTCTTCTGTCATCATCTGATATATTATTGCCAGCAGCGGCCACGTCTGTCCCCACATCTGTCTCCGCGTCTGTCCCCACCACGTCTGGACCTTTTGCGCCGGTCGTAAAAGGATTTATATCCAGAAAGGTCAACAATTTTGTGGACGCTATGACAGAGTGGGAGACAGGTCTTGCCGGTCAACCCTCAATCAAGGAGCGATTCCCTCGCACCTTCCATTGGGGTAAGGATAATGATTCCCTTGCAGAAAGGAAATATAGGGAGAAGCGACGGGCGCAAATATGGTGAATTGCATTCTCAACCACCCAGACGTCGGTCCACGTCTTGTCCAACAACCACCCACAGTAGCTGAGGCCGCTACTGTCCTGGACAGATGGAGACTGGCAAATGGTCATAAGTCTTGGGGCAAATTCATGAAGGCCGCTGGGGGGTTCGTCCAATATGACATGGATAAAATAATAGGTGAGCCCCCCCATCCCCTCCTTCCCTTCCTCAGTCATATTATTATGTAGGTTTGTCCATCTTGTAGCTAACCATGATGTAGCCAATATTATCAAGCGAACCTTTATCGTCCAGCCGGACCGGATAATTGACCACCGACGTATCTACCTTGCCCTCGTCCGCCCTCGCTCCTCTGCTCTGTTTGTTGCTCTCATATTACTCTGTCATCGCTCTCGTGTTACTTTCGTATGATTCTCGTATCACAGTCAGCGCGAGTGCTCAGCGAGTAGCTGGGGGTAGATGAGACTTACCATGTCAGCTTGTCAAGACATATGTATGCATAGATAGATGCAGAATGGCGAAAAGGAGTGCAGGCTGATATGCAGCAATGAAGTAATGACGATGGAAGATAATCAAGAAAGCGGGTTTTCTCGGATCGCCGCTCCCCCGTACAACCCCACTAAGTTGTCTATTGGAGCGTCCACTGCTGGACTACCCGTGTAAAATGAACACCTTCATGCTCAGAACGCCCCGTCCAGGTCCATCTCCTCATCCTGCTCAAATGGGGAGAAAGAGAAAGACGAGAGCGACGAGGAGCAGGATGAGGAGATGGACCTGGACGGGGCGTTCTGAGCATGAAGGTGTTCATTTTATACGGGTAGTCCAGCAGCCCGGCACAAGCGCGACCCTTCTTCTCCTCCCTTGTGCATCGCATCGGAGACAATACTGACTCGTATCGAAGTCCTTGCTAGTCTATGGCCCCAAAAGCTGCGCCTGAGAAGTCATGGGGATGCGTTCGAGATTCCAGACCTCATCACTGGGCCATTACTCGGTCCGGACCAAGCATGCCCCCAAGGCGTGTTGCCCGCGTGAACAAACAACGACGCCGTTCAACCGTTTTAGCACTGCGCATTGTTGCAGCGCGCAAGTGTAATGTGGCCGCATACAGCATGCAGCGAGGTATAAGTACAGCAAGCATCGCACGACCTTTCCGAACGGCGATTGATATCTCAAGCTTCCTTGCTCAAGATCGTCTCAATACTCATTCTAATACTCATCTTCTCAGTATAACAACTACCATGGAACCCAGCTTCTCCCCCTTCTCTCTTCCTCTCCACGCTCCCACTCCCAGACCCGTATACCCCGTGTCTGCCCCCTCTTCCCCCGGTATCGCTCCGCCCCTGCGGAGTATGTCCGTCCAGCCAAGCTCTCTGGTCTACTTTCCCTTTTCAACCGAGAGCTCCATCCTCCTTCTCCCAGAAGCTTCGCATCCCCGGCAATACTGGCCTCAGAACAAAGCACACGAGCGTAAAGTGTGGCTCTTGGCGCGAGACATGGGCTACGACCACGACTTTCTGCCTTTCTTGCCCGACGAACCACGATACGCTCCAGCCAACGCGCCGCGCCGTCCTATCTCTCGAGCCGAGCAAAGAACCCCCCGTCCCCATTCGGACGTAGCTCCCCCGAGGACTCTGTCGAGTTCGTACCCTACTCGACACACGCATGTACCCCTATCACCAAGGCATGCCTATACTGCGCCTCCTCGGGCAGCATCGCCGTTGAGCGCAGGCGTGAGACCCGGTGCCGCGAGGCAGCACCCACAGGGGCCACGGTCTCCCCAACGATCTCCACAGTTGAGACTATCAAGTATCCAGAGGCCTACGTCTCCGCGGTTCCATCGCCCCGTCTCTCCTACCCTCCCAGACCTCTCTCCAGACACGCCCGAGAAGTACAGACACTCGATCGTATCTCTCCCTTCGCCGTCCCCCTCCCAGCCTGGCTCTCCGGCGACTGCAAAAGACAGCTTGAAGGGTATCTTGGGCTGGAACGGGGATGAGGACGATGAAGGAGCCGAGAGGTATGGGGATGTCTGGAGAGGGGTGGTGGAGAGAAGGCGTTGGGATCAGCAAGTGACTTCGAGTAGGTATCGGTCAGCTTGAATTGGACACGACCTAACAACTTTGAAGGGTCGCCAGTACTACAAGAACCTCCCAAAACCCGCCACCGCTCCTCGACCCTGCCTTCTTCCATACCCCGTCCCAAGACACCCCAACCACTCTCTATCCCACCAACCAAAACATCCTTCCTCCGATCTTTATTCTCTTCTCCCACCCATGACACCCTCTTCTCCGCTCCCACCCAAACCCCCTTCGCCCATCTTGAAAGCTCCGCCTACTTCTCCGGTCTTGGCGCCTTTGCCACAGAGATTTGATGTGGAGAGGGTGTATGAGAGCTTGAGGAGTGCGAAAGGCGGGGGACAGGTTTGGTTTGATGAAGTTGAGGGAGTCGGGTCGCCTACGGTGGAAGAGGAAGAGGAGGAAGAGGTGGAAAAGGTTGGAGAACTGAAAGCTCAAGAAACAAAGAAAAGAAAAAACTTTCCTTGGTAGTTGTACTTTACCAGACACTTATAGCTGATCCGTTGACATTACCCGCTGTAGCTAGATGGCTGTAACCATGATCAATGAAGAGACACTTGTTCTGTACTTGTTGTCGTAGATTGGTATCTTATCATGAACTGTATACTTGTATCTAGCCAATACACCATACATGTTCATGTTCGAACTATTTTGACAAAAAGATTCAAGCCCCAAGATTGCAAGCGCCACCAAATGACTATTGTATAGAAGAGGACAAGTCTGTCAAGTCGACCTGTGGATCTGCAAATACTGTCAGCCAAGTCCACATCCGGGAGCGGGAGCAAAAAAGGCAGATACTTACGGACGAGGTAGTACACCTTCTCGCTATCATCCGTTGCACCCATCTCCTCCTCCTCCCCACTCAGGCCTTCCCGAACATCACCCCTGATCTCCAGCAAGTACTGGTCCTTGGCCAGCTTGGTAAGAGCCTTTGCAATGAGCTCCCTCTGGGTTTCGAGGTCCTCCTCCGATTCGAATTCGTCCTCTTTTTGCTCGAGGTACCATTGGATGAGCTCTTCTCTGTCCACACCGGTACTGGTTTCACGCTCAACCTCGGAGAGGTGGAGGACACAGAGGTTCATGATCTCCATGTACTTGTTGTCTGCGGTACAATGAGCGAAATCCGGTGCGCGAGCAGAGATGAAAACTTACAAGTGATACGCAGCTTCTTCCTGCTGCCTTCAGGGATCTGCACGCTAGCACTTCGAGCCGACGGCTCCTGTTGCGCCTGTGCTGAGCTGCTCGTGCCTTGCAAGTAGCTCGACTCGGCCTCGTCAAGGGCCGCAATATCCGCCGCACTGAGCTGAGGATCCTCGTCCATCCCATCGTCGTCATCCCGAGGACCACCTTGTCCGTCTTCATCCTCATCATCGTCGAACGAGATGTCGTCCTGTTCAACGTGGATGATGGATTGCCGCAAGAGCGAGTAGGCTTCACGGACGATGGCGGGGGTGATTTCGTGCTGACAGTTGGCTCGAGCGATGGCCTCGGACAGACGGATCATACTTTCGAGTTGACGAACAGTGATACGGAAAGAAGACTTTCCGGGTCCACCTTCGTCTTGTCGAAGTGAGCGGTACTTTTCGACGAGGACAGCGCTGGCGGCGGACGTCAACTGTACAAGACATGTCAGTACTTGCCCGTTTGTAGATGATAGAACTTACCTTGGGGCTGAAAGTTCGTGCGTATCGGATGTACCTCTGCAAAGCTTCTGTGCTGAATTCGGGGGCGATAGCATCATCCCTGAATCTATGCACATTGACAATGTGTTGCGCGATATGCAAGTCCACATTCTCGTTGCACTCATCCAGAACAACAAAGAAGAGATCGAAACGCGACATGATGGGCGCGGACATTGCCACATTCTGGCGCAGACTCATCTTTCGGTTGTATCGTCCGCCGATGGGGTTGGCAGCAGCGAGGATGGAAGTTCGGGCGTTGAGGGTGGCTTGAATGCCGGCCTTGGCGATAGAGATGGTTTGCTGTTCCATCGCTTCGTGGATAGCGACTTGATCGGCAATGTCCATCTTGTCGAATTCATCGATGGCGCAGATTCCGTTATCGGCCAACATCAAAGCACCAGCCTCAATGGTAAACTCGCCAGACTCTTCGTCTCGAACAACAGCAGCAGTAAGACCGGCAGCAGACGAAGCTTTACCAGAAGTGTAGACGGCTCGCGGCAAGAAGCCACAGACGTACTTGAGGAATTGCGATTTGCTCGTAGATGGGTCACCAACGATACAGACGTTGAGATCACCACGCAGGTGGATACCCTCCTGGGTCTGTTTGTGTACACCGCCCATGAGCTGAAGAAGGATGCCCTTTTTGACAATCTCGTGGCCGTAAACCGTGGGCGCGATACTTTGGACAAGAGATTGGTAGATGTTGTCTTTTTCAAGCATGGCTTTGAGCTCGTCGAGCTCCGCAGTGGTGAGGGAACTGATCAAGGAACTCCGTTCATCTTGACCGTCCTCGACATCACCTCGAACGTCCATCACACCCGACTGTACTATATTAGCGTGATACAATGCACGATCACAAAGTGACTTACTCTTTGGTCCGCATTCTGCACCATGCAAGACAAGAACGCCGTCTTGTACATCAAATCTCTCACACCCAGAGCCTTCAGTCCAGTCACACCCTGGCTTGCAGGACCGCCTTCTCCTCGACCTCCCCTAGACTCTCTCATCATCTCTGCGTTCACACCAGGCAATCCCAACTGCGAGACATCGGGCACGACGATGAATGTTCCAGTAAAGGTAGATTTGTCACCAGCCTTGGCGCGCTCGACCGTTTCTGATCGCAAAATGACATCCAGAGAACGGGGCATCGAACCGGTTGGGATTTCGTTGGCGTTCTCTTGGATGCGGACTTTCTGCCAGTCGGAAAACTTGGACTGCTCGATATTGAGTTGCCACAAGTTCCTGTTGTTACATGTGATGTTGGGGCAAAGCGCGGGCTACACAACGTCAGCTACGCGCAAGACAATCATGTCTGGAGACTCACTTCGGTATACTTGAACTGCTGTTCAACATCGTAGACGGCAGTCCTACAAACCTCACACGTAAACGTTCCGCTGACCAACTCTGGTCTCACTTCACTCGTCCTCGTAACAGTACCACTGATACTCATCAACTGTCCAATCTTGTCCATCCTCAAATCTCGGATGCCGCTTGTAAGGGGCATGTTGTAGAAAGCAACATTGAACTCTCGGGTAACGAGGGAGGAGGTGGGAACGGATTGATTGGTGTTGACAGAGGTGGAGTGGTAGAGCCATGTGGGCTGGTACTTGCGGACCAGTGCTTGGACCGCTCGTCGCAGGTAAGGAAGGAATCTGAGAGACACAAATCAGTCAAGGCACATGATTATCTATGAATTGAAGGCATACCGGTAGTATTGGGATTGGATGGCTCGAGCGAGAATCTCTTCACGCTCAAGAAGGTGGCCAAAGTCGACAAACAAGGTTGTGCGTTGAGTCGCTTCCAGGTCTACAATCTGATTGATATAGTACTTGCCTTCCTCCTGCTGGGCCTGAGGCATGCCAGAAGCAGGGGTATCGGGGAGGGCAATGTTGTCGGTGAAGCTGTAATGATCAGCACCGAGACCATGGACAATATTGACCTCTACTGACTTCTCCAAGAACAGAACAAAGCTCTCCATGACCTTTTCTCCGGTCGTGTCCTTCACTCGTGGGATCGAATCAGGGTCGACTCTACCAGCTCGAGCACCCCTTCCTCTACGGCCACCTCTGGGAGGCCCATCTTCCTCGGCCTCGGAGCCTCCCGGAGATCCGTTGGGTGATCTGTGCCCGTTGGGACCACCGCCCGGAATGGACCCGCCGAGACCATGTACATCGTTGAACGCGAGAGGGTCGACGATGGGATGTTGTCCAGCGTCAGAAGGAGGAGGTGAGCCGGCCGGGGCTGAAGAGGAGGGGAAATTGAGGTTGGGGGGAGATGACATTGTCGAGGAGGGGTGGATGGGGAAGGGAGGGGATGGAAAAGGTAATGTTGGTGGGCGAGACGCGTCTCGATAAGGGTAAAACGCGTAAAAGACGCGTATTTCCGATCCCCCGGTGGTGTGGCACCATGTATGACCTCTTCAACATTGGACAAGTCCAATGCATGTCTTTCCGTCTTTCACCCCTACCAGGATTACCATTGGCTGCAGTCAATCATAAGCCGTGCGAAGGCTGTATATCAATCACTGGTCACTACCTCGATTCCTGGCCAGCGGTTCCGTTTTGTCATTGATCTAACCATCTTCAGGTTTCCTTCCCCTTCAGGACTTCCATTACTGTTGCTGGTCACATATTTCGGACATCTGCTGATTGGACAAAAGTCCGGTTGGAGACGGGTGAGGTGGCATGGCGACTTTCAAAACGATTCAGCGTGGGAACAGAATGGGGTAAAGTTGAACGCCACGACGTGTTGGAGTTGCTCCCAAGCCTCACTGAGTACTAACACATACTATTGCAAAAGATGCCCCGCATTTGCGACTCGCCAGACAGCATGCAGACCGAGTGGCCATACTACATCACCGACGGTTGACGGTCAATCTTGCGGAGGTGCCTTAGAAATCAGCTTCTTCTGAAAGCAAACGCATTGCCGGTATGAGTGTTTACACGATGGCGAGACAAAGAAGTGGCGAGTATCCGCAGAGAAGCAGCATTGCCTTTATATACACGATCAAGCATGCATTCGCCCCCGCTCAAGCGCCAGCAATCTGCCCCAACTGACACAAGAAGTCCCGTTGCAGGGTTCGGAAGGGCCGAGGCGCGCTGCGTGTAAACAAAAGCAAAACAACTGTTGGCTCTTCCTTTCCATCGTTACAAGCCACAAATCCATTCTCACGGCTCTCTACAGCGACGCAACCCGCCATGGAGGACCCGGCGTCCTCTCCATCCTCAAGCACTTTTCGACTGGACTCCCCCTCAGCAAGCACGTTGCTTTGCACCGCAGACACATTGGAAGGCCTTGCAAAGCAGCTGGAGAATCTCAAAGACGACTCTGACGCCAGTGGTGGCGATGGGGAGGTACTGAGATGCTGCTGTGGAGCTGCTGTAGGGGACGAGGGTAGCGAGTGTCGCATGATGAAGGACAAGCAGAGGATGGAGGATAAGCTGAAAATGAGTGGCGGTAGGTGCTTTTCTGTGGTCGTGATGTTTGTCACCAGGGCCAGGCATCTTGCCTCGGGAGGCCTCCCTCTTGTCCTTTCCTGTTCGTCTAAGAAGACTGACGCGGCTTGTCACAGAACTTGGTACAGCTTTGCTACAACGGTACGAAGCTTTGGAGAAAAAGAATCGAAAAGAGGGAGAACGGCATCAACAATTGGTATGTCTCTCATTGGTCGCTTGCGATCGTCTGACTGATGATATTGGCCATAGATTGAAGTCAAACGAACTGCTCTAGCAGACAGCGTCAAGCGCGTTCACAACTTGGAGAAAGCCAACACTACGCATATGCAAAAATACGCAGAGATGTCGAGAAAGATGGAAGTCGTGGAGAAGGTATGTTGAGATGATACTTCAGCATGCGCAATGCTGACCACGCTCGCTAGCGTTACGCCGAAGCCATGCACACCCAGACACTCACCCAGCAATCCCTCACGCATGTCCGCTCCGAGTTGACCAATCTGAGAGATACCAACGCCCGACAGACTGTTGCGCTGGCTTCAAGAGGCGGTGTGGAAGAAAGACTGCTCGATGCGGAAAAGAGATTCGAAGAAGCACGCGACCTCGCGGCAGAAGAGACGAGGAAGCTGAGGGATGAAAGAAGAAAAGTCCAAAGGGCAGAATCGAGGATCGCAGAGCTTGAGACGCAGCTCAGGATAGCCACGAAAGAGGCGGACGCTGTTCGCGAGGCGAGAGCACAAGATGCACAGGATCTTCTTGCGAATGCTAAGAAGCGTCTGGAAACCTTGCACGCTGAGGTGAGTTGAGTTTCGATGACCTCAGAACCACCGTTGACGTCTTGTAGCTTTCCGAGGTCTACAACGGAAAGTCGCCCGAGCACGTACCCGAGCACCAGAGGATCCTCGAGGAGCTTGTCGCCAACAACGCATTGCTGAAACACGATGCCGCCGAGCTCTCTCATACACTTGTGGAATCTCGTGATGAGGTGCGCACCCTCAGAGACGAAATTGAAACTCTTCGCGCATCCATCGGCTCGTCCCGACTGGCTTCTCCTATGGACCAATATCCTCGCCTCGCCCATGAGCTTAGTCCTCGTTTCTCCCATTCACGCACCGAGTCTACTCCTATACCGGGATGGAACCAATCGAGGCTCAGCCCTTGGGAGCAGAGTCGTAAACTTTCTACCGGTATCGCTGGGCTAGGCATGGGCCCAATAGGCGAGGCTGAAGGGAGCGTTGCCTCAGACGATGTCAGATCTACGCCGGTCTCACCCGTCGTGGAGAGTCCCCAACAAGAAACGAGACCTTCACCAGGAGGTGGAATAGGATACATGGTCAATGGGGTTCTCAAACATCGACCTGCGTCTGCCAGATTCAGTGGCGACTCGCGTGTCATGAGGAATTATGCTGTAAGTGTGCGAGCATTGTCGAAAGCATGTCACTGACGAGTAACGTAGTCACGCACAATCGGCTCCATTGATGAGACAACGTCACAGGACGAACCTCAATCGCCTGGCTCAGACTACTTCCGCGCCGCTGATATCAGTCGAAAACGCCGCTCTCTGAGGCTCTCCCGCCAGTTCACCCCATCTCCCAACGACATTTCAGATTACTCGCCGAATGCCTCGACCATGGTGGACCAATCCACCTCAGTCGATCTCCCTTCCCCCGTCTCCGAATCTGCCGTTCCGGAAAGAAAATTTGAAAGTCCGAAGCAGGCGTCTAGGAGGACGCTGCTACTTTTGACAAAGTCCAGAGGCGTGCAGACAGATCCGATGCCGGAAGAGAAAGTGGCAAGTGAACGAGGACGAACACAGAAGATCACCACTGCTTCGTCATCAAGAGACACCTCGGCCACCGGCGGCAGCAGTGCTTTTGCAACACCAAATCCTGAAGACGGCCCTGCAAGCTCGCTTCTGGTGGTTGTCGAGCATATGAGCCGCATCCTGGCCAAGCTACGTGCTGCCGACGTGCCTACCCTCAACAAACGTCTGAAAAAGGCCAATCTGTCCGGGGACGTCATGCATCTCTCACAGACGACTCTCCGTTCTCTTCAACAAGAGATCAGCGAGGTACGCCACCATTTCCGAGGTATACACAACTTTGGCATGATCGATCCTCGCGATTTCAACCTTCTTCTTCGTCTTATGAAGGACGTCTTCAATGACCTGGTTGAACTCCAGGCGGTTGTGAACGACGTCACCATCACGCCGGCTGTGGCAAAGAAGCTTCAGCGAGCTGCCTACAGGGCCGAAGAAGACGAGGCTGCCAAAGCAAGCAACGTATCATCTGGTCTGGGCTGGATCGCAGCGCCCATCACCAAATTCTTTGTCACTCCCGCAGACGCTGAAGGCGATGCAGCAAACGATACCAGCCCCAGTCTCGCAGCGGTCGCAGGCCTCGACAGAGGCAAGTCTATGACTATGCCCAGGAAGGCTGTGCCAAAGCAGCAAGCGATGGCGAGTGCAACTGCGACCCACGTGAGCGTCAATTTCGGTGGGGCGGGGATGGTGAGAAAGATTGCGCCTGCAGTGGGCCTATCGGGACCTGGGGGTGAAGCACTGTCGAGTCCTGTGCCCCCTGTGGATCAGAGGGCGGTGTCCGGGCCAGCGACTCTAGGAAGATCAAATGAGGGACTAGCGCCGCCGCAGACCATCAGAACGCTAAGGAGCGTCAAGTCCAAGGCGAATCGGAATGATCTGCTAGGGATATTCGCAGGTGCCGCCCCTCGATCTTCCACCCCAGAACCCTGGACGGTAGTCAAGCCTCCAGGTGCAGGCTCAAGAGCCGATAGAGGCCGTCAGCCTGAGGAACAGACCGTCAGACCTTTCGCTATGGACAGGAAGAAGCTATCATCGGCCGTTGACGCTGTCATCGATCAGTCTGCCATCGAAGAGGACGATGATGTGGCGATAGCTGGGAGCTATGAACCACCACTTCTCGAAAGACAACTACGCCCCCGTGGCTTGTCGGATAGCAGCATTCGGTCAACTACTGTCAGTCTCGCAAGGGATTTCACCCACGATATTCCGGCAGCGGCTCCAGCACCTAATAGAGCTGCTGCTTACGGTACCACTCCATCGACAAGCGGCTCAGTGTTCCAGACGCTATCGAAAAAGTTCTACAGCTTCCGTGCTCCCGAGACACTCTCGCCGGAGCCCAAAGATAGTTCCCAGTTGGACAGTACACCATCCAAGCCACCCTTGATCACCAAACAAACCCCTTCTCCTGCTCGCCCGATACCTCGCTCTCCATCTCGAGCGTCGTCCGTTTCGACTACAACCTCTTCCACCCGGGGCGATCGTTCGTCACGCCAGACGGGAGCGTCGCCTGTCACGGCCAGCTCTTCACAGACGAGGTTCTTTGGGTATATTGCCAACTCGTTAGCACCTGGTTCAGAGGCGCTGAAGCAGGGTATGGAAGGGGAGCAGGAATTCGTGGGAGGGAATTTCAGGCAGGGAGCTATGTTAGGGCACGCGAGGCTGGATAGCGGCAAGCAGAGGAACATCTAGATGCGTTCCATGCTGTAATTTTATGTTCAATTCATGTTCCGAACGGACGCTTCTTGACGCCTTTTATGTTTCTCATTTAGATACTGTTTGATTGCACGATTAACGACCTTCCTGTCATCTCTACCACATACATATATCTATATTCATATCATCTTACTTGGTAACCCATGTTTCATCTACACCACTTTGCCTTTTGGCTCGTTTTGTACGATGTGCTGCCGGTAGTCCATCATCAGGCTCTTGCAACCGACGTTTGTCGAAAGTAAGTGTGGGGTTGACTCTGTGATAATACATACAACATGAGTCTGACCGCGCACATATGCAGCTCTCGAATTGATGCCAACTATACTGTTTCCTTCCCATAGGTTCTACTCCTGGACTTGTCCTCCTTCATATGACGCCTAAGTGCACCTCCCGTCAAGCCGCCCCATTGCTTCTCGGCCACCTTGTCCATATCTTCTGCCTCTCCGTCAATCCTCCCATCGGACCCTTCCCTGATTTCCTCTGATATCTCCTCATCTTCGTCTTCGCTCCCTCCTCCTCGCCACCTCTCAAACTTCTTCATCTCTCCGCCCTCCAGCTTTTGCAATATCCCACCCAGCACTAGGATCTCTGCGAAAGTGGATCGGTAGTCGCTGACTCTTGCGAGCATATCTGGAGGATCTGGATTGTCGTGAGTTTTGTCGGGGTCAGAGTCATGAGCTCTTTTGGAAGTGTGTGGGTGTTTGGCCTCTTCGGCGTGCTCTGCTCCTGCCCAGAGGGATATTATATTGGCATCGTCGCCTCTCAGCGACCGGACGTCTCGGATTTGGACTATTGAAGCATATATTAGCACGTTTCTGCTGGTGCCAATCTCTGAGGAACAACTTACCATTCCGGTCCGCCAAAAGAAGCGTCCTCTCTACGCTCTTATCCATGCTATCCAACAGCATCTGCCTCGCTCCCACTTCAAATCGCACCACACGGGTCAGGAGCTGCTTCAAGAGATCAACCTCGAGCTCCCTCTCCGCCCTAGTCATAACTATATCATCGCCAGAAGATGTCTGAGCAACCTGAGCACCGACGTTCGCTCGCCCGTTTCCGTCCCCGTTGCTTTGAACGCTGTTGTTCTTGCTTGTAGCCGACATTGCTCGAGTCTTTACTTCAAGCCCGTCTTTAGCAAGACGCTGCAGGTCATCATCAACCTCGTCATCGGCCTCACCACCGCCATCCTCATCCGCAAGAGTATTCGAGGCTCCCGCATCATCTGAGACCCTAGCTCGGCCGGACCCAACTTCACCGTCGTGTCTGGCACTTTTACTCTCCCCATCCTCCCCATCCCCACCACCACCCAGGATCTTTTCTCGCAGATCAGAGTAGGACTGATGGTACTTGGCGACAAAATCGGCATGCGGCGCAAAAGCTTCTGGAGCACGTTCTTGCTCAGAGACGAAGTTCCTCCTGCTAACTCCACGTTGAGAGAAGGTACTAAGCTGTACTCTCTGTCAGTATGAACACACTTCGGAGTACTGGGAAAGAGACTCGCCAGACCGGTGATGGTCTGCACCGCAAAAGATGTGACGATCGGTACAGCCATCAGGGCATAGACCACGAAAGTCACCCTGCCACCAGGTTGAACGGGCGTGAAATCTCCAAAGCCTAAGAAACATCAGAGAAGAACTGCGTGGATGACACATAGCCGACTCACCAATAGTCAATGACAGGATCATACACATGTAAATGGCGTTTCTGCAAGATGGTCAGAACTGCTTTAGATGAGAATGCGTGAAAGACCCACCCGTATGTCCAGCCCTCGATCTGAGAGAAGGCAAGAGCTCCTAACACCCAAAAGACTATCAGAGAGAACGCGCTCCACATCAGATCGTACATCTGATTCATCCTATCGATTGTGAGCTACGCCTAGCAGTGGTTCAGACGCGAACTTACATCTCCTCCCGGGCGTTGATGCGATACACCAAGGCCATCTCCTCCGTCAAACCGGCCTTGGGCCTCTTGCTGTTTGCCTCACGATGCATGGCACCTTCATACTGTTGTCTCCATTTCTCTCGCCTCAATTCAGCCCTATCGCTGAGAAATCCAATGATCAAGGCGATTTCGTTACCCAATTGGCTGATCGTGAGCACGGAAAAGGGGAATACAAGGACTTTGCCTGCTGTCGTTGAAGGTACCAGGTCGCCATAACCGATTGTCAAGGCTGTCTGGACCGACATGTATATGCCATCAAGGTAGGACCAGCCCTCAATCTTGGAGAACACCAAGCTCTGAGCCGCCAGAATGCCGACGAAAGCTGTGACGGAGAGCATGAAGCGTTTCCCCTCGTTTCTGATATCTGATGTGTCGGATTTGGCGTGGCCGAAGGCAAGGAAGTAATGAAGCAGTAGTGTCACGCAAATTATACCGGATATAACGATAGACACTACTGCACACCAGAATCCTTCCAAGTACTTGTAGCCTTGGGAGTTGCGAGTGGTGATACCAAATAGGATGAGATTGACGGCAGCGACGATGGTCTTAGCCAGCCAAAAGTACAAAGACCATCTGTTGAGTTGTCAGTCGAGAACCAGGATAGATGTGGGAGGCTGACGTTGTCGCATGCTTGACCCAGAATGGCTTCTTTGACGAAAATCTTATGACCAAGAGAATATTTGCGATGACGTTCAAGGCCAATCCTACGGCTGAGAGCACCAATGACGCGGGAGGATCAGACTGAGTGATGCCATAGTTGCTATACCATCTTTGCTGCGTGAAATAGTCAGAGCCATGCTATCGAATCATTTCAGACTGCTTACACCGAGGGCGGGTATATCCATGAGCGTAGACATGGGCGCCAAAGTGGCCGAGATCAGAGGGCTATACTTGGCAAAGCTCCTCCAACGCTTCAGCTTTAGGGCATATCTCGGCCACGTCGATACATGCCCGACATCTCTGTCGTTATTGCTTTCCGCCGGCACATCGTCTCCTTGGGCGGGTCTCGCAGAGAATTGTTGTTGGACCTGTTTTTTGTCGTCGGGTGCAGGTGGTGCGGCATGGTTCGGTTGACCGCTCATTGCACGTCTGGTACTGGTGGTGTTGGGGAAGACGCTGCGGTATCAAGATGCGGCCATAAGGGATAAACTGACCCAGGTAGCAGGCATGGATAGCAACAGTGCTGGAGAGAACGAGGATGCAAGGCTGTGCTATTCATAGCCTGGCATTTGTTTTGACCGATCTCTTGCGGCCATCACCGCGCTTCTTATCTTTCTTGTTTTGTACCTGATCCGGATCCGAAATGGCCATTTTCGAGATGGACTTGGTCGCAATATTGTTATTGCATCGTGTACCCGTCTTCTCCTCGAAAGTCATCATATCCACAACATCCGGCTAAATGTCTCAAGCCTCGTCAAGTGCTGAGGTGCCAGGCTCTCAGCAGCACCCCCCGCCCGTGCCAACCTCTAAACCTCCACCTCTGCCGACCACCACTGCACCCGTGGTGGCAGGCGCCACTCGCAAACAGAACATCGCCTGCGACCAATGCAGAACCAAAAAGATCAGATGTTTGAGAGCAGACAAGACTGAGATTGTGGGTTGCAGGTTCAGACATCAGTAATAGTCAATGCTGACTGGCGCGTGACTTGCAGTGCGTGCAGTGCAAAGCCAAGGGTTCAGAGTGTACCAGTGAATACATTGATTCTCTAGCAAACAAGAAGAAGAAACAGGACGACCACAGTAGCTCCTCCAAGCGAAAGAGAAAGAAGAAGGATGATGAGTCTCCTCGTCAAGCAGCAGCCATACTTGCACCTGCACCCCACCAGAGACCTGAGCCAAGCAGGAATGTCAGCGCCGAAACACTCAGGGGCCATACACCTTTCTCCTCCATAAGAGGCGACATGTCTTCTGGCCTCAGCACAGTCCCCGTGGACCATGGTTCAAGAAGTGCATCTGCTGCCAACAGCATAGAAGATTTCGTCCAGATAGCCGAGTCAGTCAACGTGCTTGTACTTGATCGTTTCACTGACGGATATCAGCTCTCTACGTCAACTTGCTCAACCAGAACCTTCGATGCCTCAAAGCTCCTCCTATACCCTCCCTTCTCAAGTACCGCTTCCTCCTACGACTATAGCGTCCTTTACCCAACAACCATCCCCATCCGAAAAGCAGCAGCGCCTCTTCCGGTATCTCTTCTCCGCCCATCCGGTACTCTCTGGCGAGCTTGGGTACACGGATACGTCCAGTATTGAGCAATGCGCGCGATGCGAATCTGATCTTTGGGATGAGATGGGTGGCATGGTCTGGGAAGAAGGCCCCAGTGCTGCACACGCCTCCATGGATGATGATGCGTTGGACAAGTTGGCTCTTCCTGATACGTATCGACAACAGCTGATTGTCATCTCAGGTTGGTAGAAGAACTGATAGAGCAATACTTTTCCACCGTTCATCCCCGCTACCCTTTCGTCGACCCTGCCACCTTCCACGCCCGCCTATACACGCCCAATACCCACCCTGAAGGCGCACTTCCCCATCCCTTGCTGGCTACCGTCATCGCTTGGGGCGCTAGAATGAGTGACTGTGAACTCATCCAAGCTGACAGAGAGGAGTGTTCAGCAAGGGGGGTGCAGGAAGAGGGCAGGAAAAGAAGCCGATTAGTCCAGGTTGTCAGTATCAGGACGAGGGAGGTATGTGAGAGTCGGAAGATCTGGAGATGGGCGAGCATGGATAATGTGAGGGCTTTGTTGAATTTGGAGGGGGTTTTGGGGCGTGAGTTACAAGTACACGGCGATGCATTGCGATGCTGACTTGGCGATAGAGGTCCTCCATCAAGGCAGACGTGAGTTGACCCAATGTTGTCATGTCGCTGTAGATATTAATGATGGCGTCGCAGACTATCAAGCAACCTATGCGTCAGCGGCTGTAAAACATCTCATTTCCCTTGGATATCACTCGACGAAAGGTGTGATGACTATAAAAGATAGCAAAGAGCGAAGCGACACAATCCACATATTCTGGCACGTCGTATCGAATGACGGTTACCGAGCAGTGTTTCAACAAATGAAGCCCTCTTTGTAGGTGTCTTCCCAGTTGCTGAACAGTTATGCGGGCTTATATGCTACTAGACTCGACGAAGACTACGATTTGGAACCACCTGGCAAGAATGTAGATTTCCGGAAAGTTACATACATCGATGAACCCATAAAAGAACTCGTAAGACGAACCATCCCCTTCTGTCCTCTGACTGACAAGCCCTCAGGCCTGGTTCTCGGCTGTCGAGAACGGCGCTTCAATCTGCCGCGCCCTCGCCCTCTCCCTCTCCTCCCCTATAACACACACTCGGGGCATTCCCCTCACCCTCTTACGCAACTTTATACACGCCGCAGACGCCTATCAAGAAACCTTCCACCGTATTCTCCATCTCTCTTCCGACTGGCCCGAAGACTTTTTACAAGTGATCAGGGCGTGTGCGCATGATACGTCGTATCACGCTTTATGGCTGGTAGTACAACGCGCGGTGGAAGAGTATGGGGTTGAGGATGAAAAAGAGACGGGGCAGGGGAAGAAAGGGTTCAGTGGGATGGGGGTGGGGGCGGAGGTAGAGGGTGTGAAGAAGAGGACACAGGGTGAGAGTGAGCATGCGGCGCTGAGGATCGCTGCGACGGTGGCAGTGTTGATGGAGAACGGGTACTTGCGATCAGACCCGTAAGCGATATTAGTCGATGGTAGACAGTAGCTGACACTCCGATGATAGACTGATAATCAACCAACCCATATACGAAGCGGGCCTTTACCTCGCTAAGCACGGCAAAGTAGAATGCCTTGCGTGTATAGTGGGGTTGAAGCAGTACTCGACGACGTTCCCAGCCATCTGGTCCCAGGTCAAGGAATTGGAGCGAGTGTATGAGAACCAAGTGGCACAGGATACATCTGTGGGGCAGGTGGGTACCCAGACTGAGCCGAATGAGCAGCAGAAGCAAGCACGGCTTGGAGAGGGCGTTAATGAGATATGGCAAGACATGCCACGAACGTTGTGGTAGAGGTGAGCTGAAGGGGTCGAGTTGACGGTTGGTGAAAATTGTGATGGCGGTCGTAGCGTACTGAGGGCTGTATAATGTAGATAGGTGATGCAATGGGCTCCAAAGATGTTGACTTCTGATCAGTTCCATCTGCTTCTTTTCCTATGACGACATTGCGAAAATCTGATGATCTGGTATGCTATACATCTCCAATCCCTTAGATCTCAGCAACCTCCCTCAACCTCCTGATGGTAGATCGAACGGTGGCAGCGGAAGGGGTACCGAAGGTGTAAGCACCGCCGGCGTAGGACTTGTTGCAGCCCTTGCAGTTCCAGATACCGACGTTGGTTCGCTTGACGGCGACCTGTAGATGATGTCAGGAGAGTTCGTTACTTTGAGTAAAGGGACTGACCTTGCCACAGTTGGGGCAAGAGTATCGAGCGTGCTGAGTGATTTCCATCTTCTTGACGCTGTACAATGTCAGTCAGTGATCCAACAGACATGTTGAGTTGACTCACGTCTTCCTGAGGGAAGCACCGTAACGGGTACCGTATTTACCGGTCACACCGACCTTCTTGGTTCGCTTGGTCTAAGAACGAGTCAGCAATGAGGATGATAAAGGGTGTTTGACAACGGGTGGGCAATGGCTTTCGACTAATTTCGGAGTGATTCGATGGGTGCTTCAAAGGTGAGAAGCATGGTCCCTCGTGTCGATATGGCGAAGTGTGATGTATGCTGACGATGGAAAGGGATCGGAACCCCACTCCCAGCGCAGCTCCCCTTCCATCAAATCTTCCCACACCTCTTCTCCAACCACCCATTTCCACCTCCCCTCGCCCGTGTTGTCGTTGTATCTTTGTCGAGTGCCATCGCCATGCCCGTTGCGGAGTCGCTGCTGAGTACTCACCATGTTTTTTTGTGGAAATAACTTGACGGCTGAGAGAGAGGAAGTCACTCGAAAAACCTCAAATCATGGCCAGCCCTGCTCTGTAATTTGATCCCGTCATTTGGTCCCGCGCCACATTTCATTTCGCGACGGGTGCTTATCACCGACAGACTCGCTGTTCCTGAATGCATGAATCATGATGCAGGTGCGTGCGCACGCATCTTGTGGCGTCCCCTCAACGTCCTCATCACCATCTCCATCGCCATCGCGACGCACCCGTGCGTCCTGCCGGCACTATGATCGGGCGATTCGATGTCCCATGAACGACTTTCCGCCATCTTGTACGCACAGCAGATGTCTACCCCAGCCAACAGCCACACGGTACTTTCTTGCATCTGACATCATCCGGTATGAGATCTGACAGGGAAGCTTTCGGCCTGAGGTCGCTGCCAAGTATGCCACCATCACGCAGCCATTACACAACTGCGTGATGTGCGTTCTTTCGACCGCCTTCAAGCCATCGCGACCCATGTACGGCCGACGACATCTAGGCCATCATCTACTTTAGGATCTAGGGACTCTTTCCATCACTTAGGTACACTCGACCTCGGTAAAGATAGCAAACATGATGATTCAGTATATATGACCCATCGCCAGCCCATCACATGTCTCTTCCACCCACCTCTTCTTACCACGAGCAGCCCGCCCATGGACATTGATCAGTGATGGCCATTTGCATCGATATTCCCTCAGCCCTCAAGCCTCGCTTACATCCTGTCAACACCGGGCAAAATAGTACATGGAAACGGACGAGCCTCATACTCCATGAGGCTTTCGTGAGTCCCCGCATCTCAGCTCATTACGGATGTTGTTTAGTTTGAAGCAAGCACTCGACGTCAAGCAAGCCCATCTTCTTGGGAATGACATGGCCGCACTGGCGCCAATGTATATGGCTATAGCCCATCGGACGTATGGGTCGATATTGTGGGCAAGCTCAACGCTCTGTCCGCCTCACGCGGCAAGCCTCCTCTCGCAGCACGACATGCACCGGTCGGAGAGTCAATCACCAAATTCAGCACTACCTTTCGCTGGACCACGATGACCCACCCCGGGCTGTAAGCCACTTCCATGCTTCGTAGACGACTGATGACAAACGAACATAGCCTCACACCTCTGTTGAAAAACTTTATCGAAAACACCACTTCCTCTTCCCTCTTCGCCCAGACTGAAAGTCACCTTGGCCGTTGTCAGCCACGTGAACCCGAGTATCCTTCCGACCTAGGTGACATCCTGGATATCCTGCAAGGTTCACCAGCAGCGTCGTCAAGTGAGGATGAGATGAAGACGTGGGCGGATCTTGTCGGTGAGATGCAGCAGGGTGAAGTGATTTCGGAGGTATACGTGGAAGTAGAGGAATAGGATGGTATGTACTTAATCTGCACGTATTTCATCGTATATGCTGATATCCATTGTGACTTCTAGACGCCTGGTATCGACTCATGGATCTCGAGGGAATATAGTGTCATCGCGTCCGGCGTCGCTGCCGCATTACCCCGAAGAACCGTGCAGCAGGAACTCCATGCGTGACGGCCCTTTGATCACCTCCGTCCCTCGTGTGCATGTGTGGTATCCAGGTCATCTAGGAACTCAAATGATGGATCTGCTGCTGCCAGTGCTGGGGGTGGGGATGCCTTGGACACATAAAAACCACATCTTTTTGCCATCATCCACCCTTAGTTGATCATCAATCATCATGCCCACTTATATCGACATCCCATCAGCTCCCAAGCGCCTTGCTTACGTTCTGTCGACTCCGGGCAAAAGAGTCGCTACTGAGATTGACCCGGCCTTCCCTACCGTGTTCCTCTGTCATCCGCCAACTGCCTGTGGCTACTACTACTAGTAAGTACCCCATTGCAGCTCATTGCAGTTTCCGAAAGCTCACCGTATCATAGTTATGCTCTGCTGGAGGACCCCTCTTTGAATGAGCACTACAATCTTCTCACCATTGACATCCCCGGACACGGTGCCTCTCGCATGAAGGAGCCTTTGGAGGGGGAGATCACTTGGGCGCGGATAGCCATGCTCTTCCATGAGGCCTTGGTGAGTCCTGGTATGCCAGCTCATGACAATGTTGACTTGTCTGCAGCAAGCTTTTGGTGTCAAGAAAGCCCATATTGTCGGAAGTGACATGGGTGGACAGGCCGCCTTGTCCATGGCTCTAGCTCATCCTGAGATGGTTGAAAGTTTGATCATGCTCAGGCCGAATGGCCGACCTGAGCCAGAAATTGTTGCTAGGGGGTTTGTAGAATGGTTTGCCGTGAGTCGTCCCCGCCTCTAAACGGAAGCCAGCAGCTGACAAGTACCCCGTTCTCGATCAGCTTCAAGCAGAACTCATTGAGACGAGAGACTTGGATCTGATCGATATCTTGGTTTCTATCCTTCTGGAGTTCGTCACCGGGCAGATGACAAATTGGATCCTGAGGGACATATGTGAGGGTCTGGGAGATCTGTGCAAAGCCAAATTCTTGCGGGGGGAGGTGAATCTCCAAAGTTTCGAGGCTGGGTGCATGGCTGACCATAGATGTCAGTATGAGGCATTCCACAGCGTATTCTTTCCACTCTTGGTAAATTCAGTGGTGCCCTCCGCTGAAGACCTGACCAAGATGGACTTTCCTACCCTCGTCATCGAGGTACGTTGTCTAGCTCGCCTGCCCATATTGCGCACTGATCCCTCGCTCTAGGATGTCGTCCACATGGAAGGAGACGAAGATGGTCAAGATCTTATCCCAGAGAACAAAGTATGGGCCGATATCATTGACAAGCTCAATGGCCTCGCCGCCTCACGTGGAAAACGTCCACTCGCAGCTCGACATGCTCTGGTCGGAGAGGGCCTCAACAAATACGGCGCCGTCTCTCGTTGGACCGCTCTTACCCACCCTGGACTGTAAGCCATGTCCGTGTCTCGTAGACCATCACTGACAGATATCTGTAGCGTCACACCCATGATCAAAGACTTTGTCGAAAACACCACTACCTCTTCCCTGTTTAGCAACACTGAGAGTACCCTTGGCCGCTGTCAACCCCGCGAGCCCAAATATCCTCCCGACTTTGGCAACCTTCTGGATATTCTACAAGAGTCTTCGGTAGCATCAAGCAGTCAGGCGGAGACCAAGACGTGGGCGGATCTGGTCAGTGAGATGCAGCAGGGTGAGGCGTCGGCGGTACAAGTGGAAGTCGAGGAATAGAAGTCCTGGGTCTGCACATATTCGATCTTATGCATGACAAGATTGTGACTACATAGCCAGCGCCATGTTCGGCGCGCCGACGTCCTGGAAAAAAGGCAGGGACTTACATATGTAGCAGCGACAGGGTCAAATCGATAGCGCTCAGTCCCCTCGACCCACTTGTTGGCATCTGTATCGGCGTATCATGCGAACATCGCCGTCTGTCTAGCCGGGATGAGGGACATATATTTTCTTTGGCCACCCTCACCAGACGATAGTATTCTACATGACCATCCCATCATTCATTCCGGACTACTCGGAGACATGTGGCTGGCTGGGCTCGCCCAGGGTTGTGGGCAGGAAGGACATGACCACACGACTAGCTCGAATACATCGTTAGACTGCCATCAATAATCAGACATCGACACCTCCTCACCCAAGTATATAATAGCTCTCGTCAACGCTGTAGTCTCACTTCTGCGTCTTCCCTTCACATTAACAATGGTCACCTACATCGACGTCCCCTCAGCTCCCGGCCGCCTCTCCTATATCCTGTCCACGCCGAGCAAGAAAGTGGGCGCAACCGAAATCGATCCATCATTTCCGACAGTGCTTCTCTGCCATCAACCATGGGTCAATATGTATATCTAGTACGCATTTCCCCAACCTTGCCGACGCAGAAGCTGACAGTATGAACCAAAGCTATCCTCAATTTGAAGACCCCTCTCTGAATGAGCACTTCAATCTCCTCGCCATTGACTTGCCCGGCCATGGGCTGAATCGTCTCAAGGAACCTCTGGAAGGCGAAATCACATGGCTCCGGATGGCTGGGCTTTTCTATGAAGGTCTTGTGGGTGATCCCTTCACTCCGCATGGAGTAGTACTGATACCACTGCAGCAAGCCTTAGGGTTGAAGAAAGTTCACCTCGTGGGGAGCGAGGTAGGGACCTTGGCACCCATGCATATGGCCATCGCCCACCCGGAGATTGTCGAAAGCTTGACTTTGGTCAATCCGCCGGGGCGGGCAGAGTCGGAGTCGGTTCTTTTGGGCTACGCAGAATGGTTCGCGGTGAGTCATAAGTCTCAAAAGAGGAAGCGAGAGCTGATATGCGAGGGCATTTAGGTCCAAGACGAGGTTAAAGATACCGGTGACCCCGATCTCATCGATATCCTAAGCGCCATCATGTTGGAGTTTTCCACGGGCCAGACAACGAATTTGATCCTGAGAGGTCTCTCTGACGAACTGGCAGTCTTTGCGAAAGCCAAAATGTTTCATGGAGAGGTGAGTTCATCTCATCAGGAGCCACCAATCAAGCCTGACAGACCATGCCAGTTTGTGCCCTTTCACGGCGTGTTCATGGCACTCCTTAAAGACAGATTCTCGGCGCCTTCCCCAGAGGAGCTCGCAAGATTGGACGTTCCAAACTTGATCATCGAAGTGAGCAGATCCCTCGCTCCGAGCTGATTTGGCTGACAAGGTCCTCTAGAACGTCGTCATAGGGGACGAAGAAGAGAGCGAGGCAAGCGAAGACGTATGGGTCGACATCGTTGACAAGGTCAATGCTCTCGCCGCTTCACGTGGTAAGCCTCCTCTTGCAACACGCCACACTCTGGTCGGAGAGGCGATCAGCAGATTTCATGCCACCTCTCGTTGGACCACGTTGACACATCCCGAACTGTGAGTCATTTCTCACCACCTCGCCGACATTGACTGACCACGATCTCGTAGGCTTACGTCGCTTCTGAAAGACTTCTTGGTCAAAACCACCTCTTCCTCACTCTTTACTCACACCGAAAGCCCTCTTGGCCGTTGTCAACCTCGCGAGAATGAAACCGCCTTCGACGTTGGAGACATCTTCAACTTTCTTCTCGATCCGTCGATGGCATCGGCAAGTCAGGCAGAAGTGAAGACGTGGGCGGATATGGTGAGAAAGATGGAGCAATATGGAGGAGTGAATATAGAACAGACAGAGGTGTATGTGGAGGTCGAGGAGTAGGTTGGGGGGGTTAGAAGGCCTCGATGGCCTCATATCGTATGGGTGTTGTATCGCATGGTGGTGGTTATGGTTACCTTGTCATGTATGAAGAAGATTTGTGATGACCACACCATGCTTCGACAGCGGCGCAATGCGTCAGTGAGCGCATTGACGAGAGCCGTGACGACACATGATGGTATCCTATCCAGGGCCCGTAGCTTGATCCAGGTTACCCCACGTTCTTCCGTCAACTCGAGTTGGGCGCATTCTTGTTCAGAAATGTGGCTCTCCCTTCCTGTACGGTGTTTGGGTGGCCTCCGACGAGAGGCTGCCTGGCATCTGCAATGCAGCCTGTCGCTCAACACGCCTATAAGGGCAGCAGCGCAGGCAGTTTCAAGGGCTTATAAACCTTCCACCCCGCCACAGGCACCAATCATATCTTCTTCCATCGATGCCTCTGGGTTAGTTCTGCAAGATGCCCTTCCGATTCGGTTCGAAATCAAAAAATTGTCAACACCAGGCCAGTACCGTGTTTGCTAAGGCCGCCCACCCAACTGCCGATCATCCAAGATCAAGCCAGAATAGCCCAGCAGGAGGGCCACAAGACAGTCACGCAGACGATTATAACACTGGTAGTGAAAAGGGCAGCGAGCATGGGGGCCACGAAGGAGATCACCGACGCGTTGGGGCAGGAGGGGGACAATGCAGCGGAGAACAGCAAGTAGGAGCGGGACGAGAGCAGCGTCCGCAGGGAGGGACAGAGCACGCCGGGAAATCGGGGCACGCTCGGCAGCATGCCAATCCAAGTGTGAGCATGACTACCTTGCTTGGGTCAATAGCACAGCTGATGAATTTGCCATGATAGAGGTCACGCACCCCGTCGCCCCCACCTCTTCGTCCCACACAGGGAGAGCTCGCCATGTCGTCCGAGGACAAGTTCAAAGCGGCACATAGAAGAGAGCTGCTCGCTATGAGAGAGATCGGAAGACTTGAGGTCAAGGAGCAGCAGGCGGCAGATGCGGCGGCGGTGCAGAGGTATGATACCGCAGCGAAAAAGTGGCGTTGGTTGAGGGCGAAGAAAGGCGCAGAATTCTTGAGGGAGCAGGCGAAGAGAGAAGAGCTAGAAGGGCTGGGTGAATTCGTGCAGTGAGGGATGTAGGCAAAGTGCGAGATGCGCTTGTGGTGATTGAAGAGTGGGGTGTTCAAAGTTTGTCGTGCTGTATGATTTAGCATGTGGAGTTTTCTTCTGTGTCCCGGAAGGCAGGTTGAGTATTGTGTATGCCATGCTATGGATCCTGTACCTCCTAGGTTTGGTGTGCGTATGAAGCACATCCCCGAGTAGTTGATCACCGTGCATTATCTGGGTTTCTGCATCTTCACACTAGTCATCCGTTTCCCTTTTGTCCCCTACATACCATATACCTAAAGGTACTTGTTTTCCTTCAACCAAGCCTCGACATCCTTGACATCTCTCTCAACCCAGTTGCTAGCAGCAGTGATAGAGTCGTAGGTCTGAGCAACGGCGAGCTTGTACTTGCTGATGTCTACAATTCCGCGCATCAGCCGAACACTTCCATGTAATATCTACATGGCGCGACGTACCCTTTGTGTCAAAGAACTTCTTGGTCGCCTCGAGGTCCTCCTTGCTCGTGAGGGAGGCGAAGGCGCCCTTGACGAGGTACACGAGTCCGTAGCCGTCGGGGTATCGCTTCATAAGCTGCGAGGGGCGTCAGTGGGGTAATGGTTCCCAGCTGGAGGATGGACTTACAGTGTCGTACTCGTCCTTAAAGTACTGAGCAAGTTTGTGCCTAGTGTACCTGTTGGCACCGAGACCAAACTTGAAAATCATTCAGCATATGATCATTCCGGACATGGCGCAACACTTACGAAGCCAATGTAGAGATCCTGGTCCTTGACCTCGGTCTTGAGCATAGCAAAGGTTCGCTCGATCAAAGCCTCGTCCCTAGCACTACAGAGCGCGTACAACGCATCGACCTTGGTTGAAGGGTTGGCGGGCTTCCTGTAGACATCCAAGATCTTTTCGTACTCGGCCTTGCCACCGTGCTGAATGACGTTGATAAAGATGGACCTCTGGAGATCAGGAGGGATACGAGAATCGTCGTTCTTCTCAAGGAAGGGCTGGAATCGCTCCTTGACCTCCTTCAGGGTGCCCTCATCCTCAGCAGCAGCCAAGGTAGAGATGGCGAGCTCTCGCAGCTCCTTGACGTCCGGCGCATCGTCCTCGGCATTCTCAAACCCAAGCTTGTCGCCCAAAGGCTTGAAGAGCTTGACCCTGAGCTTGTTGACGGCCTTGCGCACGTCCTCGGGCTGTTCCCACCAAGCCCCGACGACCCTGCTGAGGGCAGCACCGATCTGAGACCAGGGCAAGAACTCGGTCTCATCTCGACCGAGCTCGTTGATGAGCGAGAGGGCACCGCTGGTCTTGCCGTAACCCGCACGGGCGAGGGTGGCAGCGTCAGACACGAGACCGACCCTGTCCTCGATGGTAAAGCTGGAAGCCTGCTGACCGAGTTTGACGAGACGCTCAGGAGAGTAGGCGACGCGGTAGACACCGATGGTAGAAGCGTTGAGCTTGAAAGAGTCGGTGTTGGCGACGTCGAACGTGCCGGTACGGTCTTGCAAGATGGCCTTGTGGTCGACAGAGACCTTGCCAGACTTGTCGAGGGTGGCGATCTCGAGAGGGACGTACCAGAGGGTCTCGTCGTCCTCGGGCTTGACGTCGCCAGTGGAGAGGAATCGGTTCTGGGTGACGGTAACCTTGCCCTCGGCAGACTCGTCAACCTGGATCACGGGGAAACCGACCTTCAAGGTCCAGTTGGCCATAATCTTGGCAACGTCGAGTCCAGAAGCCTCCGAGATGCCATCCCACAAGTCCTTGGTGACGGCGTTACCGTAAAGGTGCTTCTTGAGGTAGATGGAGACACCCTTCAAAAACTTTTCCTCTCCGACGACACCTGCAAGCATTCGCAAGACACTGGCGCCCTTGGAGTAGGAGATGGAGTCAAAAATCTGAGCGATCTGGTTGGAGTCGGGGCAGTCGACCTCGATGGGGTGACTGGAGCGCTGAGAGTCGAGCTCGAGCGCGCTCTGCAAGTGGGTCTTGAGGAACTCGGCACGAGGCTTCCATTCCGGCCACACTCGCTCAAGGATGATCAGCTCGCCCATGAGGGTGGCGAACGCCTCGTTCAACCAGAGTTGACTCCACCACTAGTAGGTCATGGTCAAAATTGGCGAAATCATGCGGTGTATAAGGATTGAGGGCAAGGAGTGTAGATATATGATAGGGATGGGAAGAATGATTCGTCAGCGCAAACCGGACTCGATGGATGACTCTAGACTAACCTCCATGGTGACGATATCACCAAACCACATATGAGCAAGCTCGTGGCACTGCACAACAGCAACCCTCTTCTTAGCGGAAAGGGGCGACTTTTTAGGATCAAACAAGTAGGCAGTAGTTCGTCCAGTAATCAAACCCCAATTCTCCATCGCACCAGCATCAAAGTCGTGCGCCACAAGCGTATCAAGCTTGGGCAAAGGGTAAGGGATATCAAAGATCTCTTCATATACCGGCAACGCCCATTTCTTGATGTCAAGCGCGAATTGGGCCTGCTTGATTTGGTCTCTGGTAGCAAAGATCTTGAGGGGCACAGTCTTGCCGGTGAGCTTGGACTTGTGCTCGCTCTCGAGATGCGCAAAGTCACCCGAAGCGTAGGCGACGAGGTATGTGCTCATGAGGGGAGAAGTCTCAAACTTGCTAATCTTCCACTCGTCAGAGCTTCCAGACGTCTCGGTCTTGCCCTCCGTCTTGGCGAAAGAGTTGGCATTGCCGAGGAGGGAACCGATCTCGTAGTTGTCGGCAAAGACATTGTCGATGGAAGCGTTGGAGGGGGCCTTCCAGGGCTTGGAGGAGATCTCGGGCATGTTGGAGAGGTTGGTGTTGCCGTTGCGGGAGATCATGGAGAGGGTGAATTTGGACTTGATCAAGGGCTCGTCCCAGCATCTACCAAAGTTGAGTTTGGGCAGATAGAAGAGGGGCATAACTTACGGGAAAGCCTTTCGTGCAGCAGTAGCCTCGAATTGAGTCAAACCGTAGCTATACCAACATCAGATCATCCTTCAACGAGTGAAACAGCACTCACATGGGCTTCTTCCCATCCTCATCCGCATCGCCTTCGCTCCTGTAGTACCCGTGCATGGCACTCTTCAACTCGGACTCGAATTTGAAGAACACCTTGACATCCTTCTGCCCCTGCTTCAAACCGCCCCCAGGCAGCTTGTCCAGCGGCACCGTCCCCCTCTCCTTCTCCTCATCAATTTTGAGCTGTTCCTTGGGGATCACCAAAGACGCCGTCGTCTTCAAATCAGACGTCGAGATGGCAATGTGCGTAACGGCAAGCTCCTTGTCGAGGTGAAACACGAGCGCCGAAGTGTTCTCTTGAACATCAAGAGTGACGATGAGCTCACCAGAGAAGGTAGGAGGGGAGGAGAGGAGGTCGGTCTTGACGACCAAGTCGTAGTGTTTGGGGTGGACGTCGGTGGGGAGGCGGTAGTCGTCTCGGGCGGTGACGCTCCCGGTGGGCACGGCAGTGGTGGCAGACATGTTCTCAGAGTCGTGGCTGCAGAAACAGAGATTGCGGCGGGCTGAGCGAAGCTTGGTGCTCTGTCGGTGCTGTTTGTGGTTCTACAGTATATGAGTGTGAAGCGTCAGACACGGGAGGAGAGGCGTACGAGGAGGGAAGAGCGGAGTGGGCTGTGGGCGAGGGCTGACAGTTGGCGGGTGACTTGCGGTGTGCGTGTAAGCTGCTGATTCCTTGCGAAGGCGCGGGAGAGCATCAAGCGATACAGAGACAACAGAGCGGAAGGATCTTGGTCGGATCTCAACGCAACGCGGCTTCCGGCCTCCACCTCCACCTGGCGCCTATTCGCGAGTCCGTAGGCGCCCAGTCTACGATATGGCAATGCATGCACAGACACTTTATGTTGAATAACAAGACAAGGGAAGTATATACGTTAGAATACAAGATTGGGTTACTGATTTTACTTTGTCATGATGTTGAAATCTAGCTATAGGGCGGGTAGAGTGGCTAATGTCGCGCAACGCTGGGCGATCGGATGAGGGTCAAGAACTGTAAAGGTCAGTATGTGAGTCTCATGGTAGCAAAAGAGCTGACCTCTTCTCGAGTCTTTTGCTGCTGCCTGAAGCAACCGAGCATGGTGCTGGTGACTGTGGTAGCGCCAGGCTTCTGAACACCTCTCATGGACATGCACATGTGGCTGAATGATATCAGAAACAACTGATTGAGCGCAATATTCCACTCACGAAGCTTCCATGACGACGGCAACACCACGGGGTCGGATAGCCTCCTCGACAGCCAAAGCGACTTGCTTGGTGAGTCGCTCCTGTACTTGAAGCCGACGGGAAAAGGTCTCGGCAATACGCGCGAGTTTGGAGAGACCAAGGACAAGCTTGTTGGGGATGTAACCGATAGAGATCTTTTTGCAAGTGTCAGCAGTTTGAAACCCATCAGAAGCAGATAACTCGCCTTGCCGGTGAAAGGCACCAGGTGGTGCTCGCAAAGACTGAAAACCTCGATATCCCTCACAATCACCATCTCGTCATGGTCCTCCGCAAACACGGCATCGTTAATGACGCTGACCAGTCTCTCCTCGTATCCCTTTGTCATCCACAACAAAGCCTTGGCGTATCGTTCGGGCGTACGCTGCAAACCTTCACGGTCGGGATCTTCGCCGATGCACTCCAAAACGGTACGCAAAGCCGAGGTGAGAAGTTGCTGGTTGGCGGCCTTTTCTTCGGGGGTAGAGTGCAGACGGAGGTGGGTAGACTTGGCTGCACTTTGCGTCAGCCCGAGATCAATGAGTTAATCAAAGCGAGCTTACCGGGCCAACCCAGACCATGCTCATCAGCGATACCAGCAATGTACCCACTGCTACCACCAGTGCTCACAACACTCTTGGCAGCATTGACCAAACTATCATGATCCAATCCATCCTTCACAAGCTCCTCCCTGATCTCACCCTGCAGCTCGGCCATAGTCTTTCCATCAGGCCTGTGGTCCATGTCATCATCATCCTCCTCCTCCCTCGCGTTCAAGCCAGCCCCGGCCCGGCTTGTACTGGGGAAAGGATAGTTACCACTCCCAGCAGCAGGGTTGGTGGGCGTCGTTTGGCCCGAGGCGGGTCGGAAGCCGTAGCCTTCCCGGGGCTGGCGGGGGTAGTGGGGCGCAGTGGGGAACGCCTGACGGCCCGTAGCAGGGTTGGGGCGGGAGAGCTTCTTGTCTTCAGGCCAAGGTCGGGGGGCCCCGCCCTCAGCTGGCGCAGGGGAAGAAGCAGATGCAAGGGACTCTGGCAGATGAGCAGAGCCGGTGGGGGGCGAACGGGCGTTGTTGGCCATTCTTCCTCGCTCCCATGAACCGGTGGAAGACTCGGAGAGGAGGTCGAGGTTGTTGCGGTTCTGGGTGGGAATGGGGCGGGCTGACTGGGGGGCGGCGGTGTCTGCGGGAGGGGCGGGCATTGTACGCAGAGGGGCAGCGAGTCACTGTCACAACAATTTCCAACAACAAGTGGAGACATGATCGACTTTCGCGACTCGTCGTCGTCGGCAAACTTCCCCAGCCACTGCTTACGTAAATCGAAGCGCGCCTACTTTGTTTGGTCCGGCGACGGTAATGCTGATGGTTGAAGAGCTACATCACTTGCTGCAAGGTTTACTACTAGGGCTACACTGTTCTATGTCTCCCCTGCTATCGTCTCAATCATACAAATGGTACAAAAGCACACTGTCCCCGCGTCTAATAACGATGGGTTCGACGGTGATGAGTTGACGTAGTCGTCGTGGTCGTCGAGGGCGCAGTGGTATGGGCCCTGTGGGTGTGGCGGCGGTTGTGCGACTTGCCAGGGAGGTGCAAGAAGTGACGAATACGCGTGCCGAGGCTGGGTCTACACAGCATATCAGTATCTCCTTCGAGTTCATACCTGGATTACATACCGAGTAGACCTCATGCCCATCGCGTGGAGCTCGTGCTGGGCATTGTCCCTACCAGCATGTGTGGTTCGGGGATTGTTGATGGCCTGTCAATGGTCAGCAATGGACTTGAAAGTCAGGTTGTGGCTTACAGCCCTGAGGCCGCGAGCACGGTTGTCCCTGTGGTTGCCGTGGTGGTGGTGGTGGGTGGTGGTGCGAGCTGTTCGGTAAGGCATGATGGATAACTGGTGGCGATGAGAAGAAAGAAAAATGGGCCGTGAGCGGTTCTCTTATATATCTTGACTGGGCGAGGTGACATCACTCCATCAGCTCAAAGGAATGGCTCCACCTGTGTGTTGATCTGCGCATCTCTCGTCATCAATGCATGCTGTCCTCTACGCCTTCTCAAACTCCTTCTTCGCCAACACCATCTGCTCGTCCAGCTCCTTGCACATATCATCCACCAGCTTCTGCACTGCATCCGTCCCATTCGCCTTTCGCCCGCCGAGAGCCTTGAAGCCGTCCGTACGGGCGGTACGGATCTGCGTTTTGGCGGTTTCGGTCGTTTGTGACAGTTGGCGGAGAATTTCGGTGCGTTGTTCGACTGTTGGTCTGCAGAGAGTGTCAATACTGGGGAGGAGATGATATGCAAGACTGACCGAGCGACGGGAATCTTGAGCGTCGTGCCGCCCATTCTTTGTGGAGAGATACCGGGAAGGTTGGCACCGTGTATAGCAGATTCCACCTGTTTCAACGACTGGAGACATATCAGCGCTGACCCATCATAGCTCTTATACGCTTACAGCGCTATCCCAGACCTCGACAAACAAGGTGTTTCCCTTGACGGTGACAGACGCCAACGAATTGAGATGAACAGTTCCAGGCGTATCGGGAATCGTCACTCGAACCGAATCCAGGATAGCTATCCTCCCATCAGCCTCACCCTCGCATCTCAAGTGCAAATTACTCACCAGGGGTCACCCTTCCCCTGCCCCTCTCAACACCTTCAAACACCACAGCCTTCGCCCAATGAACCGCCTTCTCCATCTTCCCCTTCGCCTTTTCCACCACCTCCTCGATCACCACCTCCCCAGCTCCCTCCGCATCGGCCGCACCAGCTTCGTCATCTTCCGTCACTCGGATCTTTTGTTTGGGCGATTTGGCGCCTTGGCCGTGTTTGTTCTTTTTGAGAATGGGGAGGGTGGAGGAGAAGGGGCGGACGAGTAGGGCGGTGGAGAGGGCGGGGGAGGCGATGGGGGTTGTTCGTGGGGTTCTTGGGATAGCTCGGAGAGCGCTTCGGAGGGCGAAAGGTCGCATTTTGCTGCTCTTGCGTTGTTATATGTAAGAAAGACGGGTTGTCCCACTTTTTGTAGGCCTTTGAGCGAGATGACGCGCCAGAGTGGTGCACGTGACCTCAAAAAGTTGACAACAAAAGTCAAAAATCAAAAGTATCTCCGTGCTCTTGCTCACCCATTTCCAACTCTCCACAACCTCCTCGAGAGCTTCAAGCACAGGACTGAAGATGGCTCGAATCACATCCGTCGGCATGGGCCGCAAGAAGTTTGTCGCTTCAGCCGCTGAAGAGGCTCAAGCCAAGACCGCCACTGAACCTCAACAACAACAAGTCGAGAAAGCAGACAAGCCCGCGAACGCCGAGTCTTCTTCCAAGCCCAAGGCCAAGGCTGGAGGGACTGAACCTGCTGCCAAGAAGAAGAGGCGCGGAAGGGAGAGGACAAGGGACGAGACTGGCAAGAGGGTGGCTATTGGGGAGAAGAAGGGGGCTGATGATGGCAAGAAGCCTTGGGGCCGGGATGCCAATGTTGCTCGCAAGTCTGATCTCTTCTGGCTTGTACCATGCTAACAGACTGGTGTTAGGACGCACCAATCTCTCTGCCAAACACGCCGAAGACAGGATCAAACGACGTGCAGAGCAAAAGAACATGAATGTCACCTGTTTCGCCTGTCGAAGTATGGGCCACGCCGCTCGAGATTGCCCCAATATCTTGTTGGCGGCTACCACTGTCGGTGCGCCTGTAGAGGGTCAGGAGAGCGAAGCGCCTCAAAACGAGGTCAAGAGCTCGAGACGGAAGGGCGGCAAGAAGGGCGGTGATGTGACTACAGGCAAATGTTACAGGTACGTATCCGTCCTCTGAGATCTTATTCTGGCTGACATGATGATCAGATGCAACAGCACAGAACATGGGCTCTTCCAATGCACTGAACCTGTAGACCCCACAAACCCCACCCCCTTCGCCACCTGCTACATCTGCCTCGCCTCCGGTCATCTCGCCTCCCTCTGCCCCAACAACACAAAAGGAGTGTACGTCAACGGCGGCGAGTGCAAAGTATGCAAATCTACCGCGCACCGGGCTAAAGACTGTCCTGATGACAAGCGGGAAAAGGTCAAGGATGATGGAGAGCAGAGGAGGGGAAGGTTTGATGTGGTGCTCGGTGTTGGGCAGGGGGCTGGAGCAGATGAGGACGATTTCATGGTGGAAGCTCGTCATCGTCCTGCGGAACGGCCTACCAAGAACAAGAGGCATGCCCCGGCGAGAAATAGCGAGAGACCTATGAAGAGGATGAGGGAAGTGGGAGATGAGGGACCGGTGTACGCTGAACAGGGGGAGATTGTACGACAGCCGGATCAGGCGGTCCCTTTGACGGGCAGGAAGAGGGTCGAGGGTGTCAAGAAGGCCAAGGTGAAGGCTGTCGCTTTCTAGAGCCGTTGTATATGTATATCTTTTGGGTTTTTATTGTGGACTCTTCGGTTCACTGAGATGGATAGTTGGGGCATACAATGCATGATTCTCGTGACAGTATGTACAGCATAGGAGCGCCTCGAACTGGAGCCTTACGAAACGCCTACGGGTCGGATGCAAGATTTAACTGCATGGCATTGACTGTAGGCATAGTATGATACTCCGTAAGGACCACAGCACACCGAAATCAGATATTTCGTCACCATGGAAAGGAGCACTCGTCCCTCCGACGTCGTTGCGTGATGTCTTGAAGGCCAACTGCTGCGTGTAGCAGCCGAGCACCACCCACGTCTAACCTTTTAGTGGACGCAACATAATCACGCATGGTGTTTGGCAGTAGCGCCCTCGGTGGGCCGACAAGGCTTGACCTGTACTTGGCGTTGTCTCAAGCCGTCGCTTGCTCTGCCGTTATCGATACCAGGTCCGTATCGAACAGCTCAATGAACTGAGGATGACCAATCAGTACTGTAGGACAATCAGAAACAAGACCGGCTTACCTGCTCATTGAGCACCCTGACCTTCATGCCCGCGTACCGCCTATACTCTTCCAGTATACTGCTCAACGCCCACCTTTGCAGCTTTCTGAAACACCCCACCACGGTGCCCGTTCGGTGTCGGCCCATGTTACAACAGAGTAGCGTGGGAAATGTCGAAGAACGCAGCAAGAGGGAAAGTGCTTGGATGATCAAGGGTTCTGGTGGAGGAGGGAGCGGGGGGAGGTGGTCTGTGATGCGTTAGCCGTCTCGCCTCGGGGATCTGCGCGAGACTGACATTGCCCAGAGATGGGGACAACCCCAGAGTCGGTATACGGTGGCGGGAAATGCGGGTTCAGACTCGTCTGAGGAGCGAGGTTATACAGCTTGATTCCCTGCGACTCGATGAAAGACAAGCTGAGAAGGCGTCAGCAGGGAACTGAAGACCGGGCGGGCGACTTGCAAGATGTCTGACGGCTCCTCTGCGCCAACCCATATGATGGTTCTGAGGTTCAGCTTCTCAAGAAAGGAAAAGTTGAGCTCGGAAGGCTGAGCTGAGCGATAGAAGCCTGCTTGGGATTAGCGCGGATCGGAGGTGGAATGAGTGGGCTTACCATCTTCGACGAGGCCAAAGTTCATAGGCGGGACTATCTTGGCCATGTTGGGAGTATGTATCGATTGAATACCTAGTGCAGTATATAGTAGTGTTATGGAGACGTGACACCGATAGATATTGAGGCAATTAATGCAATCCGAGGAAGGTACTCGGCCACGCAGAAAGACAGAGAAGATAGAAGTGGTGACGTCGAGAGTCCGTACATCTCCGCTTTCAGAGTCCGCTTTCATCACAACAATCATCAACAACCCTGCAAACGAGGGGTCCTCCGTACATCTATTGCAATAACTACCAAACAACTTTGCCGGTCCAACAATGCTACCTCCCCGGCTCAATCAGCCCCAAGGACGGCCGCCAAATAATCACGCTTCACACCCAGACGACGCAATTCGCCTTACCGACGATGACGCTGCTTCATCCCGTTTGTACGCGCGCCCACCATATCTATCAACTTTTTCTCACATGCATATAGATCAGCTACACAACTGGGATACCTTGCCGACCCATTTGTCTCTCTACTTTACAGAGCACCCATGGCCTACGGCGCAGCGCCGAGCGGACGGGCAGCTCGCAAACCGCCTTTAATCAATATTGGGACTCACCACCGGACTTGGGGAATAGACCTTTTGGTGGAGCAATTCCTGGAGCGAGGTGGAAAGCAAATAGTCAGCTTGGGAGCTGGAAGCGATACGCGTTTCTGGAGATTAATGGTGCGCCGGATGCGGTACCCAAAGACTCCTCCTGCTGACATCATACAGTCTAGAGACTCTCCACCAAGCATTCACAAATACGTCGAAGTCGACTTTCCTCACCTGACATCCCCTAAAGCCCAGCGTATAGCTCGACACCATAAACTCTCCCAGTACCTCTCTCCCATTGTCCCCGGTGTGTCACCCACCCTTCCCGGTCCCGGCTCCAAGCCATACTCAATTGGCCAGGGTGGCACCGAACTGTCCTCCTCCCTCTTTGATCTCATCCCCCTGGATCTCCGTCCTGCATCTTCGTCCTCCAAATCTATCCCCAGCACCCTCTCAGCAGACTTGCTCCCTCACCTCGATCCTTCTCTACCAACGCTCTTCTTGGCGGAATGCCTCTTTCCGTATATGCCCCCAGAGGACTCGGAAGCTATCGTGAGATGGTTCGGAGAGACGTTCAAGGACTGTGTGGGGGTAGTTTATGAGATGGTAGGGCTGGACGATAGCTTTGGAAAGGTTATGAGACGGAATCTTGCTGTGAGTCTTGCACCATCTCGTAAAGGGTTTGACTGACTCCAGGTCAAGGTGCGAAATCTTTCCATACCAGGATCAGTCTTCCCCACACCAGCGTCACAAGCTGGGAGGTTTCAAGTATCTCAATTGGGTGAAGGTAGATTTGATGACGCCGGGGCCAGAACGTTGTGGCAGGTTCGCGAGCAAGCAATAGATTCCAAAGAACTACAACGGTACGCGGGTATCATCATCCGCTATACTCCATTCTGACGTAGTGCCTTAGTATCTCGAAATTGGAGATCCTGGACGAGATTGAGGAACTGAAACTGGTGCTTGAGCACTATGTGATAGCATGGGGAACGAAAGGGGCTCGGATGAGCTCTATCTCCTTGTAGACATCAGCCTGCGCCATATTACGATGATAGATGGATGGGGCGAGACGGCAAAAGATATATGCACATGCAAGAAAGCCCGATGTCACTACACTATTGAAAATCATTAGAAAGTCTCCTCCTCGGGCTCGAGCCCTTCTTCACCCTCCAAAAACTCATCATCGGGAACCTATACACCGTGTCAATCGGGTGATTTCTGCAGCTTGCAGAGTGAGCTCACCTCGAATCCTTCAATGGTAGCATAGAGAATGTCCTGGATCTTGGTCATAACATCGGTCTCTTCTTGAGATACACCCTCAACCGCTAGTCGGTCCTGAAGAATGAGCTCGATGTTCCTCAGCTCTACATTACCCCTTCAGCTCTTCATCACGCAGATGAAACCACTTTGTGAGATACGCACTGTCAAAGTAAAAGTCTCTCTCTTTCAACAGACTTTCACTATGCGCCTCAATCTCTGCCACCCTCGCCTGCATAGCGGCCACCTGCGCATTACTGGCGGCACTGGTGGAAGTGCTACGGGAACCGGGAACGCTGGCGACATGAGCGGTACGGGTACCTGTCCGAGCAGCAGCGGCAGAGGGGCGGGTGGCAGTGGAGGTAGAGGGGATGATACCACCGCTGAAATGACAGATAAGCGCTGAATAAGGGATGTAGGGGGCTGTGACTTACGCGCGACCTTGAGCGTCATAGCCCTCACCGCGAGAGTGCAGGTCCCAATACTTTTTCATCCATTGCAAGAACTCCAGATTGTCCTGCATCTTGCACCTGTAACCCAATCAATCAGCTCAGTTCCATGGAGCCTATCGCGCGAGACGCGACCAGGAGCAAGTCCACCTACTTGATGAGTTTATCAACCGGTATGGGCTACACATCATCGGTCAGCAGCGTTCATCTCCATCTGCCATTACTCTCCCACATGATCCCATGCCCCGATACTCACCTTCTCAATCTTGTGCCTCACAAAGGCTTTCTGCAAAATCTTGAAGTTGTCCAGATACTCATACTCCATCCTCGCGTTATACTTGACCCTGGACATGGGAAGATCGCCATAGATAGAGTCGGTAATCTGACAGTAGACGCTTCCGGTACCGCATTGTTCAAGTTTGGTGACGACGGTAGGGGCGAGGAGGTCGTTCAGCCAGGCGAGGAGTTCTCCTCGGGCTTTCAAGAGAGCGAGTCAGCATGTCAACCTAGAATTCTGTGATGGACGGCCGCTTACATTCTCCAACGTAGACAGACATTCTGTGCGGAATTTGCAGCGAATGGGGGTGGGAGATGGAGGGTTTGATGGAACTGAGAAACAACAACACGCTGAAAGTCAACGCGCGCTCGGACACGCGATTTTTACGTAAATGGCATACGTGCTTCTGCTGCTGCTGCCTGCTGCTGCTGGTCGTTAACTCACATTGCATGTCAGGCTTGAGATCTCGCCAAGTACAAAAAGCACATGATGTCATCTCTACTATCCAACCCCCCAAAAAATGCTGCGTGTATAGTGCTACTAATGATCCAACCCTTCTCTTTACCGACTCTAGCTACACGTCGCTCTTTGTAAGATGCTACTCGGTCGCCTCCCCTGATTTACACCCTAAACACCCTCGTAGATGTATTCACCTTGTATATATATGATCAAGAAATGAGAAAGAAATGCTACAAATTTCCACGACATTATGTTGTTCCGAGTTGATAGCTTGACTTCTCAACCAAGCTTAGTGTTGGAAGAGGTCATGGAAGACGGTCGGTATTTCCGCAGACTGAACAATCTCGTTAGCAACCATCTAACTCCTCACTGGCTGGGCTCACCTTGAATCGATAAGCACATTCCGTACTCCTCAACATCTCCACATCCCCACCCGCAGCCTGCACAAAGCTGACGATCACGCCGTTCACGGCTCCCTGCTGTCCCTGCCTTCCACCACCGCCACTAGGCGGGACAGCCGCCGCCGCTCTTTGGGCATAACCTTCAACACTACGGGGCAGATCAAAGTTGATCACCAGAGGCGACCATGGCACCTCGGGTGGTTTGATGTTGACGTCAAATACTACCAGGAAGCGAGGACCGTTGCCTGAGAGCGAGAGACGCCATTGCTGGAGGATAGCCTTCTTTTGCTGCTGAGACATATCCGGAGTCTTCAAGGTTGTTAGTTTGTGCGGCTGCAAAGAAAAAGAACTCACCAGGTAAAGAGCCTCCCAGTTTCTACTCTTCAGCTTCCAGATGACAGCCTCCAGGATCGCAAAGCTTCCAACATGGATGATCGCCTGCCATAGCGGATAGTCGTCGAGCATCTTGACAAGCATGTTGAGCTTGTACTCTTTCGCTCGGGTCTGCTCCTCGTTCATCTGCCCTGGCCCTCCCTGCGACCTGCCTGACCCGATCGTCCCCGGTCCGACTTCGGCCGGAGCATTGTTCCCGTTCTGAGCACTACCAGTGATAGTCAAGTAAACATACGTGTGCTTGAGGTTGACACCGGGCGTCACAGAAGACACCGACTCTTGCGAGTTGTTGCCTCCTTCCCGACGGACCAGAACCCGAACAGGGTCGCGCACTTGGAGCGACTGAGAAAAGTTGATGACGTCTGTAGGGATGGTGTTGGAGAACAAGCACGTCTGCCTGTCGATTCCGCCGGGTCCACCATTCGAGACGGAGGGCGGCGCGGGACTTTGCCCAGGCGCGCCGAATCGACTAGCTCCGCCTTGAGCGCCGTTGACGTTGGGGAAGGGTGTCTTGCTGGCGGGGTTGAAGGGCGAGTCCCGACCAGCATCGTAAGGACTTGTGAGTCCAGGAGAGAACGGTATGGGTCCACCAGGGGTAAGAGCGCCTCCTCGTCCGCGAGGCGGCGGAAGAAGCTTGGAGACGTTGAGTACGTGCTCGTAGAGGTTTCGTGCAATCAGTTGATCCACTTCGTCAAGCTGAAAAGTTGTCAGCTAATGTTTTCAAACTTGGGTGATGGACTTGCGATCAAAAGCCTGGTGTCGCCACCCTGCAAACCACCTCGAACACTCATGACCTCGTTCACCTTGGCGGGCGTACCGACAAGCAAGTGAATTTGCTCCCTCTGCATCTGCGCAATTTCATTCTGCAGGTTGCTCGATCCAGAAGCGCCAGCTGCGATACCGGCACGGATACCAATCGGACCTCCGACGCCTCGAACGACTGATGCATGTATGAGCTTTTGTACCCATTGTGTTCTACAGACTCACGCTTGTGGCACTGCATGGCCTGATCGACAGTGGTGGTGATGATGATCACGGACGGACCGGCATACGGACCTGTAGGCTGTAGTAAACTTTGACAAAGATGCAAAGCAGGTATGACACTACTCTTGTCAGCTGTGCAATGTCTCAAAAAATTAGCAAGCTCACTAGGAAATGATACGCTCAGTAGTAGGTGGTGCTTGAGCGATGATATCCGACCCCTTAATCATGAATGGCAACACTCTTGTCTGGATCTTGTTGGGCGGTCCAATTCCGTATTTCGAAATCGACCTCAACAAATCCACTTTGAGGTTCAAGTGCTCCCACTTGCTAATCACGATACCTCCGCCCGGCGCACCTCCTGGTGTCAACAAGCCGTCCCTTCCCTGTCCTCCAGGCGTCTGCATGCCGCCCGGTCCAGGGCTAGGCCAATCTCTGGCCATCGAGTCCCTCGCTAAAGCACTCGAACCGTGTTGCCCATGCGCATGATGCCCAAGAGGGCCATGACCATGCGAGTGGCTGTGTCCATGCCTTTGAAACTCGGGCTGGACCACAGATGAAGAGATGGAGCGGTTCATGTTGGGACGGGTGGGGGACAAGCCGCCGAAAGAAAGGGGTGATTGTGTGGAGGGCATTGTAAGGGGTCCGGTGTCTATACCGCCCGGATGCCGGGGCGGCACGCCCAATGACAATGGCCCAGGATGCCTGTCTCCAGTTAGGCTGGAAGAGCCGAGTTGTTGCGGCTGGACAGACTGGGTGGGGGGAGGGAAAGAGGGTTGGCGCTGGGTTTGCGTGTGTTGTAAGCGCTGCAACTGCGCGACCGAAGTCGACAGCGCAGATATCTGCTGAGTAAGGGCAGAGATGGATGCGTCTTGCGGGGGGTTTTCGTTATTCGTGAGTGCGCTTGGGGTGGTGGCGCTGGGGATGTGGGGTGATGGTTGTGGTTGGTGATGCCCGGGGAACCCGGTGTTACTGGCACCACCGCCTGCCTCCAACGCCGGGTCAGAGTCGAAGGGCGAAAAGACAGGTCTCTTGGGAGGCTCTGGTGGAACCAAACCCGACCTGTTGGGAAGGGCGGATCTGACCAGATCGGATAGTTGAGCGACCTGGGTCGAGAGGGCACCGAGCTGGGACTCGGTACGAGACACGCGGGCGATGAGGGATAGGTAGGCCTCGGACGACTCAAATTGCGGGGGAGAGGCAGTCGAGCGCCCCGAGGACGGGTGGGGCGGGGTAGAGTGCACCGACATGGCGGGAGGGCGAGGAAAAGGTCGGGAATGGGTGCAGAAAAGAAATAGAAAGTGCAAAATGAGATGGACAAAGATGGAGACAAAGAGGAGGCATTTCGATCTGCCCGTGCCTTGGGTGCTGCTTAAATTCGAGGCGTATCTTCAAATCCAGCGTGAGTGACTTGCAGGCCGTACTCGGGGCGTTATGCATGCAGCAGGACACGGGAGACATGGGGGACATGCACGGGGGTATGTATTCTATGCATGTCGGGCCAGGGGAGGGCAGATGCCGCCTGCACATCAGCTTTCACGTCGAGATATAACTCATCAGGCCTTCTCCGAAACTTCCATTTGGGCCCGCTTGCTGTGTCCGAAAGCTTACCTTGAGATTGTGATGCAGATGGGTTCTGAACTCATGGCCGACATGCTCGAACGCATGTAACGATCAAGTCGTGATGCGTGCAAGCAATTGAGGGGTTGAGGATACAAGTAAAGGCGATGACACGGACTGTGCAATTGCCATCACGCAGACAGCAACGAACCATATCCCACCCAAAGTCTGGAGCACAGGTACGACACGCATGATTTTTGGGTCAGTCATGACACTCGAAGTGATTCGCTGTCCGTCCCAGATGAGCTGCAAGTCCAGTTTGTCCCGTCCATTGCGCCAAGATCCGTAAGAGAATAGTACATCCTGCCTCAATCACTAAAAGCCGGATAGATCTACTCGGTCATCTCGACGTCCTTCTTCTCCTCAGCGGAGGCGTTCTTGGAACCCTTTCGCTCGAGGATAGCTCGCCTGTCCTTGTCGAGCTATTGACAATGTCAGCTTCTGCAGTGATTCACACAACAGGTTGGCGTACCTTGAGGGAGGTGATGACAACGTTGGAGGGGTGGATACCGACGGGGACGGTGGCGGCGTTGGACTTCTCGATGTGGACTCGGTCGACGTGGATAACCCACTTCTTTCGGTAGACCTGCAGCGATATCAGTCTTCGGCCTGAATTTGCGAGTGGGTTATACACACCTGAGTGACCTTGCCCTCTCGGCCCTTGTACTTGCCACGGACAATCAGAACCTCGTCATCCTTCCTGACGGGGATGGATCGAGCCTGCAAAAGGTCAGCTGCTGCTCCTTCCGCAGACCAAGACGACACTCACGGAGTGCTTCTGTCGGAGCTCCTTGCTCAAAGAAGAAGACATGATCTTCCTCTTCTCACCACCGGGAGCAGAGAAGTGAGCCTTACGCGACTTGCGTCGGTCAGAAGCGAGGCCTGAGAAAAGGTCAGCGCTGCTTTATGAGAGCTGTGCAGGGGTAGCAGGGCATGTGGAGGGGCGTAGGCAGGCGGACAGTTGTTTCGAATTTGGGGTGTTTGTCGCAGGATAACGTTGTGTCGTGCTGGCGCAAGGTTGAAATTTGACCACTGTTTCCTCCTTTTCTCTAACTCCTCTCAGGCCTCACTACCACCCCTCCCAGTCACCACTCCCGTATTCACTCCCTCATATTCTTCTCTCCACCGTTGGTTGTCGAATAAGATTTTCTGCCGCGTATTGCGTGATGCCGATGCCACCGTTTGCCAGTGCGCCTGCGCTCCACATGCCCCGCACCGTTCTGCGAGGTCGACTCACCGAAAGAAGACGCCATTTTGTATAGATTGATTGATGGATGGAGCAGTATCTCGTGCACCAAAAAGACCTCCAAAACGCCAGCCCAGCGGCTGCAGAGGGAGACTAAGCGGGCATCGCCGCCGACACGTTTCGCCGAAACTCCGTCAAAGCTCTATCGCCGATGGATGCGCCTGCGTAATAATAACGACGCGGTTAAAAATCAGAAGGGGGCGTCGTGTATGCTTGCGACTGAGTTGCGAGTGACCCTACTGGAGAGTACCTTCACTCCAAACAGACACTGCCATGGAGCACGTATCGCGGATACCGACAGCATCCTCAAGATACCTCTTGTCGTACGTCATTTGCCACAAGCATCTCACCCACTCGCCGCTCAGAGGACCGTGTGAGTCTCTGTCTGTATGTCAAGCCACCTGTCCTGGGCAACTGTTTCCACGTACGACTTCCAGCTCCCATTCAGACCATGGCTCAACAGATGCGCCAGCGTTCACCTCGCTCGAAGCTTGTTACATGTCTGTGGCAGCGGTGGGTGATATGGACCTCTCGCTTCGGCCAGTAATATGACACCTGGCCACGCTTCGAGGCGATCACTTCTACTCTCTCAGCCTCTCAAACCATGAAACGTCAAGCAACGTCTCGAACCAAGTACTGCTGGCGAGCCAGCCAACGCCAAGGATGTTAAGATGTCATCGTTCTGGAGGTGAATAGCTACGCAGCAAAGTCATACTTGCTGATCTCACATATTACCCTAGCTCGCGTCCCACTATGCACTGTCAATGCCACCTTGTCATCTCCGTGTATTGCCTTCACGGCCAGTTCACGGCGTGCAGATACCGGACCAAGTGCGCAGGGACCAAGCAATAAGCGGCATTACCCGCCTGACGTCAGACATCCTGGTATGCGCGTCGGGCATCGTGAACGTCAACCCTTCCTTCTCCTCTATATCTCACTCATTCATCCACCATGGCATTCAGACCCACTTTCTTCTCTTCCCTCCTCCACAACCACGCCCCATCCCCCTCCTCCTTCTCCCGTAACATCCGCACATTCCACGCCCGCCCATCTTTCACCCCTCGCGCCGTCGCCATCGCCCGACCACACCCATCCCAATCCCGAGCATTCTCGCCGTTGGGCCTCGGTATCGCTGCTTCTCTATCTCTCTTCACCCTCTCTTATACCCTTCCCTCCAAGGCTGTCAAATGCGAGCAGACCACTGGCTGGCGCGGATCCTCTGCCGCCCAACAGCTGCCAACCCGAGCGAACGTGTCTGGTGAACCGAGGAGCATTTTGGACGAGAAGAAGCCGAAGAGTATTGTGAACACCTACGAGCTCAGTTTCGGAGCTGTCTGTGGTATCTGTGCCGGAGTATTCGTCAAGAAGGGTGCGAAGGCTCTGGCGTTCTTGCTGGGTGGCGCGTTCGTCTTTCTCCAGGTATGTCTGCTCTAATGATGACCGAGTCGAGCTGATGTCGTGATCAGTACATGTCTAGCAAGTCGTATATCACTGTCGACTGGGCCAAGATCGGTTCCAAGTATGACTCTGCTTTCGGCACCAAGACACCGACCGGCGTTCGAGGGCCTACTATCGGCAAGGTCTGGGGAGGCTTTGTTGACTTCGTCACCGCCAACTTCCAACGTACGTTCAAGCGTTATTGCACGAGAGCACAATGCTGACCATTGGTACAGAGCGGGCAAGTTTCCTCGCTGGCTTGGCCTTGGGTCTCCGTCTTGGATAGACCTGCCACCACTGCTTACGTTCTCCATAATGTTATCATCGGCATAAATACAATCATATGCAACGTGCATCTATACACATGTACTTCTTTAATCCTTGTGATCTCTTCATTCTACTGGATCACAATCTCCCAATCCTCAATCACCGACACACCAGGGTTCTTCACCCTCAGCTCGCTCGCCTTGCCCTCCTTCTTACCCTTGGCAGCCTTGCCATCCTCCCACTCAAACTCGATCTGCGACCCCGTAGACTTGGACACGATCGATCGAGGCTTGGCAGAAAGACCGAGGACGACGATCGAATTGATCTTGACGTCCGCGACAGTCTGCGCAAAAGTGTTGTCCGGGTTGAACACTGTCACAGCCGAACCCTTCTTGCCGCTCTCCTCGTGGTCTCGGCCCACCAGCTTGCCATTATCGAGCTCAAACTTTCTCCACACAAATTCGCCTTGCTCATACCCATAGCCCTCTCCGTCATCAAGATACAGCTGACCTTGCGCCTTGCCGTCTTTTCCGACAGAGATAATGAGTTCGACGGGGTCTTGCCACATCAGTGGGGAAGAGCGTCGGGGGCGGGGACGGTTGGGGATGATGTGGCCTCCTTGAAGGAGGACGGGGAAGGTGGAAAGAGGGGTGTGGAGAGTGAGGGTCGTGCGGGGAGAAGATGGGTAGAGGCGGTGGGTGAAGAAGTCATAGTACGGCTGTCGTCATCGTCAGCTTGATCATCCAAAGCGCTCAAATGCTCACTTGGTCGTCAGAGATGTAGACTTCTGTAGTCACAGCACCCTCCACAGTGACAGGCTTCACCAAAAGGCCTTCTCCACCAACATAGTACTGGTCGTCAATAGCATACCCCTTGTCGTCATCAGGGAACACGGCGTATTGCGGCCTGATGATGGGCAAACCCCAAACAGCAGCCTCTTTGAAGGCGTTATACCAAACGGGCAGAAGCTTGTACCTCAATCTGAGAATGTCTTTCAGATATCCCCGAGTCGGCTCTGCGAAGAGATACGGTTCTCGGCGTTTTGTATCGATGTGGGCATGGGCACGGAAGAAGGGCATGAAAGCACCGGCTTGATACCATCGGACGAGAAGCTCGTGCGAGGGGTTACCGAAGAATCCACCAACATCGGCGCCACAGAAAGACATGCCGGCAATGTTGTTGCTGAGTAGCATGGCGGTTTCGCCGGCGAGATGTTCCCAGTCACCGAGGTTGTCGCCAGTCCTGCTTTGCGTCAGTCGCGTTACTTTTGATGTAAGCTAGACCTTACCAGATAGCACCAAAGCGCTGAGAGCCAGCAAAGAAGGATCGGGAGAGGACGAAAGGCCTCTTGGCGGGTGACTCTCGCGCGATCAGAGCTCCGGCAGTTTGATTGTGCTACCCTACATCAGTGACATTCCCGTCAGAGCCAAAGTACGTACGAAAAGCATGCCGTTGATGTTGTGCACATCACGGTTCTCCCAACCCCCAGCATGCACCGTATCCCTCGGCACGCTAATCTCTGGTCCATCAAACACTGACGGCTCATTCATATCATTCCAGACAAACAAGGCATTCGTCGAGTCCTTCCACGTCTTGAGATCAAACATCCTCGTCCACCATTCCCAAGCCTTGGGGTTGAAAAAGTCGACCCACACGGAAGAGCCGGTCCAGCACCAACCTTCAAAGTTGGAGCCGTCGGGCTTCTTCATGAGGACATCGAGGTCCTTGGCGTCACAGTAGATGCGGAAGTCGTCGGTCTTTTTGATGTGAGGATCGATGATGGCTACCATCTGGCATGTTGTTAGCAAACAACCATCAACACAATTGACAACCAACCTTTCTGCCTTTGGAAGCGACGGCCTCGAGCATGGCAACAGGATCAGGGAACACCTTCTTGTTCCAGTCAAAGTACCTGTGCTGCTCCGCATACTCGATATCCAACCACGTAACATCCAAAGGCATATCGGCATTGTCGAACTCGCTGTCGACAGTCAATACGTCATCCTGGTCGTTATAGTTCCACCTGCACTGGTGGTACGCCGTAGACCATTGCGGGGGCAGGGGTGTGCCCCCTGCGAGGAGTGCATACTGCTTGAACAGTCCGTCGGGGTTGGGACCGGGTAGAAGAAGGATATCAAGGATACCAGATTCAGAGATCCAGTGCGTCTTGGTGCCTTCCTTGTCGTGCAACACATCGACGTAGGTGTCCGACCCGACGAGGTTGAGGACACCCACAGAGTGATCTTTGTTGTGTGCATGGACCAGGGGGACGGCACCGTAGAGAGCCATGGGCGAATCGGCAAGGTACTCGAAAATGTCGACATTGTAGAGACGGTAAGGATCAGAGTAGTGGGCGTTGGGGCCGATGGTGTCGGGGAGAGAGAGGGGTGAAGCATGTTCTGGCAAACCGTAGATGTGCTGCACACCAGGGAAAGAAATGTCGATGGAAAGACCCTCGGGGCCCTTGGGTTTGCTGTCTGTCCACTTCTTCCACTTTTCGGTGAACGCATCCGCGTCGCTCTCTTCAAACCAACTCCTGTCAAGGGCGTCACCACCCAGGACAACCTGCTCGCCCTCGCTCACTTGAGCTTCGACGTCCTTGACGCGGAAATGCTCCATGTGGAAGAGGGAACGGTCATTAAAGACGATCTCGGGCTTGCCGTTGCGGAGTTGAGTGATCTTGAGCGGGGAGTGGACAATCTCGAGCGAGAGCGAGGACGAAGGGCCGTAGGAGATCACGCTCTTACCGTTGCTCGTCTTTATACTAGCAGACGCGTCGAGAGCGGGTTCAGTGTCGAGTAAGACCCATCGAGCAGTCTCGTTATACCTCTTAAAGGGCGTAGAGGACTCCACCTCGTCGACTCGCACACGGGCAATACCATCGCCCTGCTGGAGGATGTCGACACGAAGCTCGAAATGGATCTGGGGGTAGAGCGAGGAGCTGACGTGCCAGTTCCACGATCCATCAGACTCTGACGGGATGGGATCAGCCACAGAGTAGGGCGACTGGAAGCTCTTGCCAGCAGCTTCCTGCTTGGCACCGATGGACCTAAGTCTGCGACAGAAGGAGGCCTGTGAGCATTGCCTGAAGTCCTCGTGCTTGACAGCGGGTGCGAGGGGGAGGAGGGCGAAGAGGGTGGCGAGTGCGAGGATGAGATGCCTGGCGGGCGGCATGGTGCTCAGGCTGCTTTTGGGAGAAATAGACACACAGTGCTGCAGTGACAGCATGACGCGCCGGGTGGAGGCAGGGCATTAGCGGCACCAAATGCAATCCTAATGCATTACAAACTCCTGGGAATGTTCTCGGCCGGCATCGGAACACGCCGCGTAATTCTCCTCG